TCCAAAAATCTGAGGGGCATTAAAAAGAATTGCGTGCAATTGTCTTTTTATTTAAAAGATTCCTGTCAAATATTAGTCATTAAATATCAGAGATGGGATGGAAAGGGCTCTTTGATGGCAAAACTTCATCCAATGAGATACTCAAGAGCTGCTTCTCCATTGGCTGGGAAGGCCAAGAGCTGTGAGCCAATCAATGGTGGGAGGCCTTGGAGGTGGGGGGGGTTGAATTTGGATGTGAAAGGTCATGTGGGTGAACACACCTGAAGTCGATCCCCACCCCCTATGTCCTGTGTCCATTTGGAGGGTTTCCACTTCAGACGCCGAAAGGTCGACTCTACACTTCCAGCAACGTCTGCTCTCGGGATCCGGCGCTGCTTCACAGCTAGGCCGGGCAGTTTATGTTTGAAGTTCCCCTGCCACCACCCAAACAATAGACCTATGCACGGTCCGGATTCAAGGAGAACCACAAGACAGTTCCTATGGCCTTGTTGCACAGCTAAAGTGCACTCTCCTGTCACAGCAGCAGATTCACGGATCCAGTACTTTTTTGTTTTTATGGCCACAGTATGGATCATGAATCCATTGCAGGTGATAAGTGAGCTGCTTTAAGCAGTGCAAACTGGGGATCTGTCCTGGGACTCAATCTAAACAAGCCACAGTCTAGAAGGAGCTGCACAAACCTCTGCATCAGAATAGCCTTTGACCCTCTTCCAACCTTGCCCGTTGACCAGCTACAAATGGCCACTGGTGACTGGGTACAAGGCCGGGAAGGGGAAGTTGCGAGACAAGCCAGCTTTTCATTGCCCTCCCACGCCATGAGGCTGGTATGAACTGTGCACGCCCCAGCGGGACATAAACCACAGAAGCATCCCTCAGCCCATTCACCTAGCAGAGCCTCATAGCCTTGTCAGCATTCCCTGTTATGTCCTTGTAGATCATTTTAAAAGAATCTATGAACAGGTTTGTCCAATATTTTCGTTCCTCTCCGGTGGAGAATTTGGCCATCCCTGCGGTGTAAGCCAAAGTTGCTACCAGTTTGTTGTAGCTGTCTGGGAGCTCAGTAGTTTGCATGACTGATCTAAACTCCTGGATTGTCTGTAACCAGTTATGAGGGTAGGTCCCAAGCATAGGTGAGGGTGGGATATCTGGGTGTGCAGCATTACTGTTTAAGATATCTGAAAACGATTAAAAAAGAAACAGTTTTAGGCTCGCTGACACTGGCTGACAGCGTATACCATTCACTCAGTCGCAAGTTAACTCACCTAGTCTCTGTCAAAATAGGTAGGACCTGCAATTCTACATCTAAATGAGACTTTGAAACAGAAGTGCAGTTGTTATAGACAGGAGCAAAGAATGCCGGGGGCATCCCATTTTAGAAGGGACAACGAGGCAGGCAATCAGAAAAAGGGCCTTGCATTTATATGGCGTCTTTCACCACCTCGGGAAGATTGTGTTAATGCCGCTGGACTAACAGTCCAGAGACGAAATACTGCTGATGCTGAAGATCTGAAACAAACACGGAAAATGCTGAAAAAATCTCAGCGGGTATAGCAGCATCTGTGGAGAGAAACAGAATTAACGTTTCAAGTCCGGTATGACTCTCCTGTAGTTCCCAGAACCCCAGCACTTGAGACGTAACTCGTTTTCTTCTCTCCACCGATGCTGCCAGACCTGCTGAGTTTCTCCAGCATTTTCAGTGTTTGTTAGTAATCCAGCGGCCCAGGTTAATGCTCAGGCCGACACAAATTCAAATTCCACCACTGGTAGAACTGACACTTGATTAAATTCATAAATTTAGAACTAAAATGATGAAACTGTCTTGGTTGTTGTAAGACTCTTATTAGGTTCCACAAGGAAGGAAATCTGTCATCAGAAGCCACTCTGGCCTACATGTGACTCCAGACCCATGGCTTCATTCATAAATGTCTTCAGAAATGGCCCAAGCAAATCACTCAGCTCGCCAGGGACAGACAACAAATTTTCTCGCCATACCCACATCCCATGAAAAAAATGTATAACAATGTCCCTAAGTGTTTAATGGGCACTTCAGAGGAAAAAGCTCAGTGGGCTTTTACAACAGTAATGAAGTAAATGACAAAACCATCTAAGCGTTGGTGCAGGGACAATTACTGGCTCCCTTTGCTTCCTTGAAAAAGCATCACGGAAACCTTTCAGTTCTTAACAGTCAGACCAGCAGTTGAGAACATTAACTCTGTTTCTCTATCCCCACTGATGCTGCCAAACCTGCTGAGTTTCTCCAGCATTCTCGGTTTTTCTTTCATTACAACGGATAAAGCCACCTGACAGGGCATATATAAACTCCCAACTTTCAATCTGTCCTTCTATTCCCCCACTGCCTTCTGTTTGCTCGGGGGTTCGGTAATGGGATGGTTCTTCAGTGCTCCCCTGTGCAACACTGCGCTGGTCAGACTTGCACATAGACAGAATGATTGCCATTGTCAATATCCATGTGTCTCATACCAAAAACTCATGGTGAATAATGAATCTCATCATTTGAGAATCCCATAGGTAATTCAGAGATTATAGAAAAGGAGGAACTTAAAACACGGGGGAAAACACGGGAGAAACTAATGGGATTGAAGGGTGACAAGTTCCCAGAGTCGGATGGCTTACACCCTAGGTTCTTTACAGAAGGGGCAGCAGAAATAGTAGATACATTGGTTATAATATTCCAAAATTCCCTGGATGTGGGAAAGGTTCTAGTGGATTGGATAAATGCTAACTTAACAGCCTTATTCAAAATTGGAGGGAGGCAGAAAGTAGCAAACTAGAGACCAGTTAGTTTAACATCTGCTGTTGGGAAATTGTTAGAATCCATTATTAAGGAAATAGTAATGAAAGATTTGCAAAGTCAAAATGCAAACCATCAGAGTCAGCACGGTTTTATGACGTGTAATTAGCGTTTGAGTAATTTGCTGGAGTTCTTCGCAGATGTAACAAGTAAAGCGGATAATGGGGATCCTGTGGCTGTAGCACACCTTCCAGTAGGCATTTGAAGCGGTACCACACAAAAGGTTAATGCACAAGGTAAAATCACTGGAGGTTGGGGTAATTTATTAGCTTGGACAGAAGATTGGCCTAGTGGTATTATCAACTGACTGTTAATCCAGGTAGTGTTCTGGGGACTGGGGTTCAAATCCCACCCAGGCAGATGGTGAAGTTTGAATTCAATAAAAATCCAGAATTAAGAATCTAATGATGACAATGAATTAATTGTTCAGGAAAAAAACCCATCATTTAGGGATTGAAACTGCTGTTCTTACCAGGCTAGCCTACATGTGACAACCAATCCATTGTTGACTCTTAACAGCCCTCTGGGCAATAAGTGCTGGCCTAGCTGGTGTTGGAGCGAACATTTAAAGAAGTTGGGATAAAATGGTCTTTTTCTGGTTGGCAAGATGTAACTAACGGGATGCCACAGGGTTGGTTCCTCAGGCCCCAACTATTTACAATCTATAGTAATGACTTTGATGCAGTGATAGAAGGTACTGTAGCCAAATTTGCAGATGACACTAAAATAGGTGGGGAAGTAAGCTGCAATAAAGAAATAATAAATTTAGATACGGATAGATTAGCTGAAAGGACCAAAATTTGGCAGATAGGGTTTAACGCAGATAAGTGTGAGTTATCCATTCTGGCCAGAAGGCAACTTATTATCTAAATGGGGAGAAACTTCAAAATGCTTCATTGCAGAGGGATCTGGGTGTCCTTGTGCATGAATTGCAGAAAGCTAGTGTGCAGATACGGTAGAAATAAGGAAAGCACATGGAATTTTGGCACTTGCTGCCAAAGGAATAGAGTATAAAAGTAGAGGAATGTTGTTGAAATTGTATAAGGCATTGATGAGACCACATCTGGAGGACTGTGTACAATTTTGGTCCCCTTACTTGAGAAGGGATGTAACTGCATTATAGGCAGTTCAGGAAAGGTTGAGTACATTAATTCCAGAGATGAAAGGATTGTCTTATGAGAAGAGATAAGCATTTTAGGCTTAAACGGTCTAGAGTTTAGAAGAATGAAAGGAGATCTAATTGTGGTACATAAAAAGGGGAGATTGACAAAGTAGATACGGAAAGGATGTTTCCCCTTGTCAGGCAACCCAGAACAAGAGGTCATAGTTTTAGGATAAGGGGTGATAGAATTAAAATAGAAATGAGGACAAAATAGTTCTCTCAAAGGGTTGTGAATCTGTGGAATTCATTGCAGTGGACACTGGGACACTGAGTAAATTTAAGGAGGAGATGGATGGATTTTTAATTAGTAATGAGTTGAAGGGTTATGGGGAACGTGCAGGAAAGTGGAGGTGAGGCTGAGATGATATCAGCCATGATCGTGCTAAATGACAGAGCAAGCTCGAGGGGCTGAACTACCTATTCCTGCTACAGGATCTTATGTCCATTCCATCAAAGCTTCTAGATTTCATATCCAATGCCCAATTCACTGCAAGGAGAGTTCATATCTTTCCCTCATGTCCTTCCATTGAGGACTTAAGGCAGCCATTTCCATTTGTTCTGAGATCGCCTGCTTCCACTTCCCTAACTTCACCTGCTGCTGCTCCTGCTTCAGCTGATCGGCTGTGGAAGCCCCCATCCAGTCTACGTCACCTCCAGAGCTGGATTATTCCACCACATTCCTGACCGGCTTGTCAAATTCAACCTTCTGCTGTACAACTGCTGACTGACACCATGTCTTATTTACTGACGCCCGCCTTGTATCCACTAACCCCACCACAGAATGGAAAAACCAGTAAAACTGGCGAAGGGAGTTAACTATCACGCAGCAGCAGCATCCGTGGAATTCAGATGCAGGCGGCAGAATTGCAAGCAAAGACAGCCTCACTCCTATCTCCCTGACAATCACTTGGTCTTTGGTCTGGTTTATGTGTGGTGTGAATACAGTCTGTCTACAGTCCACCTATAATGACCGTGGCCTCAGAGTGAGACCCTTTGTGCAATGTGTTTGACATGCTTGCAACTTACCTGTTTTACAGGGGAGATCAGGGCAGATAATCTCGGGGTCTGAAAGAGAAGAAGAACACGATGTAAAAAACATATGCGTCAAGGGTCTGAAAGAAATAATAGCTTATATCCCTGGGGTGGTCATTTGAAGGTCCATTTCAGGTAGCCCTGGGGAAAGCTGGCTGCAAACAAAGTGATGGCGTTCTCCAAGACCCCAAAACCTCATAGATGTCATGCCAGGGACTTCAGGGCTGGTGCCAGGATAAGCAAGCATTTTGTAACTAGCAACCACTCCCCACCCCACTCCCCCACCCCACCTTGCAGATTCCTGCTGACTGCGGCATTAAACCTTTTGGAAAGGGAGGCCATTTCCAGTGAGTGGGACATACCGGGGCACAACAGCTCTTCCATCTGATCAATGAACTCCTCAGCCACCAGATCCGCAAACAGGTTCATCTTCTGCACCCGCCCGTCCTGTTTGCAGGCAATCGACTTCAGCGTTTCATCGTCCTGCGCCCTGGCAAACATGTCCCCGATGCCAATTGCATTGACAATGACGTCGCCCTTGCACAGGGAGGTGAGCAGCGAGTCGTCATCCCTTGGGTCGTGCCGGCCGTCAGTGATCACCACAGCGAAGACCTTGGCCTTGTCACGCTTGTTGGCCTTTATCAGCGTGTCATATGCAAACTTGAGGGCGGATGGGGTCCATGTGCCGCCCGCGATCCACTCCAGCTTCTTTACGGCCTCCTTGAAGGACGACAGCGAGTTGATTTTGGGATCATTCAGCTGCACGGCTTCAAAGGTCCCTTCGTGACTGTACTGGACGACGCCAATGCGGGCTCCTGCAGTCCGCAAATTAAAACGTTAAAACACAATCAGCAAATAAACAGAGACCACACACATAGAACTAGCAAGGTACAGAGTGCCAGGTAAGAGGGATATCAGTGTGCTTTCTGCAAGGGATCGTCAAATTCCTTTTGTACAATGGTGTCCGTGCTCTAGGCCTTGCTCTACACACCAGTGGGAAGTTAACAACATCGAGAGAGAGGGACAGGGAGGGAGTGCCACTTGGACCTGTAACCATAGTGGGTGGGAGCTGGCTCACAAAAGACTTCAGGAGTGATCCGAGAGGAGTTTGTTATAGGCTGTTGAGTAGTATTGTGTAGTATCCGAATGCACAGACAACCTAGACAGCGAACTGTCATCTGCGACTATTTTGACACTTCAGGCGGGGTCTCAGGGAGAGTTTGAGCTGTGTGTGTGCGTGTGTGACCATCCTTTCTAGATTGTGCCAATGTCGCTGGTCTGTGCAGGGTGCTGAGAAGACAGGGGATTTCCAAAAATGACAGAAGTTTGAACCATTAATCATGTCAAAACAAGCTGACTGTGAGCATCTCCATCGTCACTCGGGGTGGTAACAACTGCTTGTCTCAGACCCAAGTTTGCCAGGCAACTGTTACCCTCATTACACAACTTCAGTGATAGGCCTTATCAGTTCAAAAGTACATCATTTCAAATTTCAAAAGAAAATTTTCACTGCATGTATTCATGATGAAAACAACTTTTCAGAAACACAGACAAGTCCATTTAAATAAATATTTCCTTTTCAAAGCACTTACTGAAGAATGTTTCCCACAACCCAGAACAGGAAGTAGGGTCATATAAGAGGGTGACTCTTCCTGGAATCACTGACCTGTATGAGATTTGGGATCCTTGGCGATTGTGCCCAGTCGGCTGACAGTATTGATGACAAAATTCTTTTCCAGGGTGAAGTTGGTCAGGCCAATACTCTCCGAGCTGTCAATCACAAATACAATATCCAGTGGTCCACACTGCTTCTCACAGTCTGAAAGAAAGGGTCAAGAGAGGACAAGGGGAAGGGAATGCTATATAAGTAAGGGATCAATTGAGCTCACCAACGCTAAATTTGGTACATTACATGAGAAAGCCTGCAGAGCACTTTTGTAGAATTGAAGGATGCAGTTAAAGCAAATTTCAGACTGATCCAATTAATTAATCCACTTGATTGACCACTTATTAAGTGGACCAACTAGTGGTCTAAAGGAATGTAGGTGTGTAGCAGTTTATGGATGAAAAATATTAAGGTCCATCTTATAGGCCTCCTGCTATCATTGGTTAGAAGACACAATAATATTGGAATTGATTATTCATCGCAATCAATGGATGATATTGTGAGGGAAGGAAAACCATCAGTGATGGAGACCTTTGACAAACATAAATGCAACGATACTTGTCCTTCCCAAGCTACATTTACCTGTACAAATGACTAACCTATGGAAGACAAGGAAGACGATATGTGATGTTTTAGCTCTAAGCTGACACACTTGTTGGCAAGAGTTTAAAAAGGGATGGACAATCTGTGACTGGCTCAGTCCTCTAGTATTCATTTCCATGGTTCTCAAAAGGTGACACTGATAAACAATACCAGGTTGATACTTCCGAAGGATCTGATAGTCAGTACAAGACACAGGCAGCTCAGACTCTTCTCAACTGGCTCTGGGTAAAAATCCAGACTGATGGTCTGTATTGGAGTCAGGAAGCTACCCAGTACCCCATGTTAATAAGGTCTACTCAGTGCAACCTCCAACTACGAGATTCCTAATGTTCAGATGTCTGAGTTTAAATCATAGTGGTACCTGCCTGGGAAAAGAATGTACAAACAGAGATCGCTGCACACTGCTCACGTTTTATTGCTACATTCCTATAAGGCATGGTTCCCTGCTGATATTTTCACTTTACCGTCAACAAGGCTTTCTGAGGGAAGGTCTCGGAATGTGACTGCGTGTTAAGTGCTTCAACATCATCAAGATGAACTTACCACAACATCCACACGTCTCCCTGACATAAGTCATCACATCACAATCCTAGGGAAATGGAGATCAGGAGACGTTACTGAGGAGGGAGGCATCAACCCAACCCCGTCACCTTAACCAGCAACTTGCGAAACAATCAGGCAAAGCAGAAAACTGTGAATACATACTGAGGAGGGAGAATCTGTGCGTTCAGGATATGGATCGGAGGATAGTGATGAGGGATCATTGATACTGATTGATGCTTTTTCTAGCCACAGCTTAAGGTGTTGGTTTGTGGGTTGTCGACTGCAGTTGGCTGTATCTCTGGATCTTCCATCAAACAAGTACAGCCCAAACACATCTGCCATTGGTCCACCCCCCAGGGAGACTGCCTTCCCACAGCCAATCAGAAAGGAAGATTCTTTGCTACCCACTCGACATCCCCTCCCTCTACCACTGAAACATGGCGGCAGCTGTGTGTACTGTCTGCAAGATATACCCAAAACAACTCACTGAGGCTCCTCCGACAGCACCGTCCAAGCCCCTCCCGACTCTAGAACAGAAAGACGCACACAGGCATCTTAAATACCCACGGGACTTTATCTCTGAGTTACTCGAGGAGCTTCCAATTCCTGGAGATTTCCAGTCCTGCAGGGTTGGAAAGCCCCTCGATCCTGGCCCTCAAGTTAGGCATGGCTTGGGATGAATGCAAAATGGCTGGATTGACCAGGTGGGGTCAGGGAGTTTAAGTGTATACTTAAACAAAACAGCGCAGTACCTAACCCCTTACCCGTCAAGTTGGTCACGTTCCTGACTCAGCTAATTAATCCCAGGCCCACTCACCTATTCTTCATCCTCCCTCTCTGGGCAAGCTGCCTGCTATTCTGCAGTTCCTTCATTTGACACTATGGGGGAGCTGTTTGCCACTCCAACATCAGTTATATAAGGGCCTCATTATTCAGATACAGAGCAGGGTTATCAGCCCTCTTGGGCAGTTCTGAAGTCTACAGCAATTTAAGCTCAATCTCAGTCCCACTGCTCCGAGTGAAAAATTCTCAGGAGAAATGTCATAGGGCCAATTTTTTTTTTTTTTTGATAAAGGTGCTTTTTATTCACTTCCTGTGGACCTTTGCATTCATCGCCAGGAACATTTGGTGCTGGGGAGGGATAGTATCTCGACAGTCAGGAATCATCCAGTCAAGCAGCAAAGACGCGGATGGTTATGATCTGGTTGAGAGGGCGGGACTCTCCAAACATGCACGTGTTGGCTGACCAATGGTGAGAGGGTAAGGATGGGTCACTGGGAACAGGGGTGTGGTGTGAAATGCTCTCAGAATACAGACGGACAGAGCTGGTGACCCTAATGCAGGGAGAGCTCCCTGAACCCTGCCTGACCTCGGCCAAGAAACATGTTCAATAGAGGATACTTACTGTTAGGCCAGGATCTCCTGGAGGCCCATGGCCACCCTGAAACCAAACAAGAAAAAAGTTATATTTAGTTCAAACTAAAGGGAAATATTACATGCAGAATAGTATGCCTCCTCATCTACGTCAATATGTTCCTCTTCTAATGCTACAGCTCGACTAGTTTAATTGGCTTTGAAAAATGCCCTCCCCTCTCCCAGCCCTAACATCCCACAACTGCAGTGATGTGGAGCTGTGAGGTTCTTTGGGGTAAGCAAACTTGCCCAACGAGTTTGCTCGATTAAATCCATGGTAGACTTGATGAGTGAGCTGTCATCTATTTTCCTACATGCCCTGGGGGAGGGGATAAATCCACTAGCTCTGCCTTGGCCAAAGCAAGAGAGGGCCTGAAGTGTAGGCTTTGGGCCAGTGGGCTGCTTTACTGGATAAGGATTCCAATAAACTTTGCTGATTGTGCTCACGGCTGAACATAGTGTATGCAAACGCTATGAACGGTATGAACAGTATCCTTTGGGATCCAGGCCTGGAGATTCCTACAAGATCCACCTGGATGTGAGATCAGAAATTCTGGTCTCTCTCTCGCTGGGTTCCAGGAACTTCTGGAATTGGCACAATGAGGCTCTGTCCAGCTCTTACAAAAGCCCTTGATATATTAGGAGTCAAATGAAATTTGCTCACAAACTTGTCACAACTGTCAGTCTCCTAATGCCCCCTCCTGTTTTTGGGAATGTTTTAGTTCCTATTATTCATTGGTGGTGAGGAACGTACCCTGATTTTCTCACCTTCCCAGCATGCAAATGCAATTCCTCCTCATAGAACAGACCCTTGGACATCCGTAAATTCGGTCTTTGTTTTCATTGATGGTGATGGGAGCATGACTGTATTTCTTATCAGTCCAGTGAGGATTTGCACTCGCTGACTGCTTAATATTTGCCTGGCATTTCTGTTTCCTGCAAATATTCCGAGTAAAATGGCGACATTTTTCTAGGTTGTGACTGATCATTATCGTCACTAAAAGGACTCTGAGAGAGGATCCTGGATCTTCAACTCAAGCTACCTCTCCTGGTGGGATACTGAAGTCTTTTCAGAGAGTGCTTGGAAGTTACAGGATCAGAAAAGGCCCAGCTCAAGAAGAGCAAGGGGAATCAAACAAGGCCTTGGATCATTTGGAGTAGTATGAGCCTTTGGCTTGATGGTAGGAAGGCCACTTCTGAGTCAAGAGGTGTCGGATTCATTCCTGCTCCTGACAGCCCCAGCACTGAGCTTAGAATATAGTCTCCGTAAGTGTTGAATTGCAACAGGACTGATCCAGACTGCTTCACCTTAACTTGCATTGCCAACAGTTTGTGGCGTCAAACCCTAGTGACACAAGGTGTGCCACACTGCAAAATCCAATCTGGAGAAACTTTCAATCCTTGGTTAGGTGTCAAACAAGTGGCCCTTACCTCTGGACCGGAGTCTCCTGGGGGGCCTCTGTCTCCTGGCTCACCCATTGGTCCCGGGTCACCCTAGAGGGAAAGGAGTAACACAGTGTGATGCATTCTTCATGTAAATCGATATTGCAATTGCTTCAAAAGGCTGATGACTTGGTCAGGAACTGGCAATGTATGGCCGAAGAGGAACAGGAAACTCATTGAACTGGCCTAAAGTGTAGAAGGGATTTTCTTACAACTTCAATTGATTAAATAAGAGAGGAGGAAACATGGGGAATACTTACGGGTTCACCAGGGATACCCTTTTGACCCTGTTCTCCTTTGCTTCCCATTTCTCCTTTGTTACCCTGTAGAGAAAAGGTCAGTCTTAACATCGGGCTAATTGAACTCTGCTCTGCATTGAACAACCATTCTTCAAACCTGCTTCTGACACACGAGACTCCAGTCACCCTCGCCTCAGCAAAACTATTCCGACAATCGGCTGCTCAACATCACGGTACGATTTGTGGGAGCATGTTCTGTGCAAATTGCTCGTCTGTGTTTTGTGGACTACAACAGTGACTACACTGTGGTTCCAGAGTCTTGTCCTCGTCCGTATCTAATAGGATTAAGGGATAATCCATTTGAGGCAGTTTAAGATGATTGAAAAAGTCAATCGTCTGCCCCCTGGTGCCTCTGGGAAGAGGATGAACCAAGAGGATGTGCCTTAAAACGAGAGCGAGGCTATTTGGAGGTGAAGCTGGGAAATCTGTTTTCCGTGTTTTATGCATGCCAAAATCCTGCTTAGGCCAATCTGAGTGCAGCAGATCAGAAACACTTGTCACGGCCAGAGATGAACTCTGCCTTTTCAGTTACAGCAAGGTTACACTGCGTCTTCCATTCCACTAGGTTATAATGACCGCGCCAAAGCAAGAGCAACTAGAATAGTCGTAACTGCAGTCACCTCCTGAACCTTTGGCTTGCCACCTTTTACAATGAACTGCACAACCCACTACACTTCTGTATTAGCTCACCAAATACCCTGCACTGAACCAAGAGAGGCCTCACTCACCGTGTATCCAGGTGGTCCTCTTACTCCCTCGTCACCCTGAAAAGCAAAAGGACACACAGTAATGAGCTGTTGCAGATCACTGAGCGAAGGAGAACACTGCAAGGAAAGGGGAATGAAGGCTGTCAATTACAAACAGAAACAGGTTTGGTTGAGAATCAGGCAAGACGCTCGATCTGTGAGAACACTGATGCCGCTGGCCGTTTATGAACAAGGAAGCAATGGATTTGATTGGTGGCGAGCAAGATGAGTTATGGATTGGTGACCGTCTTATAAAAAATACCGTACTCAGAACTGTAAAGCGATGGCAACAGAGAGGAAGAATGATTTTGATCCAAATGAAACCCTCATCATATCTGAGTCAAATAGGTTGACTTTTGGCTGTGTAAGACGAATATGAAATAAGGGGCTCCAACAGCTGATTTATGATGCAGAGTGATGGCAACAGCGTGGGTTCAATTCTTGCATCGGCTGAGGTTACCATGAAGGATTCTCCTTCTCAACCCCTAACCTGTGGCATGGTGACCCTCAGGTTGAACCATAACCAGTTCTCGCTCACTGTTTAATGAGAGAGCAGCCCTTTGGTCCTTTGGGACAACAGTGACTTTACTATTACTTTATTAATATCAAATAATTAATAGTTTTTTCCCAAGAGTTGAAATGTCTAATACTAGGAGGCATGATTTAAGGTGAGAGGGAGAAAGTTCAAAGGAAATGTGAGGGGCAAGTTCATTTTTTTATACACAGAGAGTGGTAAGAGTCTGGAACGTGCTGCTAGGCCTGGTGGTGGAGGCAGATACGATAGGAGAGTTTAAGGGACTTTTAGATAAGAAAATGAATATGCAGGGACTGGAGGGATAATGGACCTAGCGCAGACAGAAGGGATGAGTTTAATTTGGTATCTTGTTTGGCACATGGTGGGCCAAAGGGCCTGTTCCTATGCTGTGCTGTTGTATATTCTATAGATTCACAAGATCCAATTTCAGGGAAGTGATAAACTTTGTTAAACAGACCACTTCCGACCCGAACAGTGAAAACAATTATTACTAATATCACAGACCAACTCTTTCTCACTCTGCTGGGTTGCAGACCCATTCTTGCAGCTGGCTATTATAGGATCTTCATGTGCTGCAGGAACAGTTGACAGAATAATCAGCAAAACAACGCTTCCCAACTTTGTGCCAAATTTAAACAGTGCAGGTCAAAACAGAATCTGGCTCAAGACCAGGCCATGCTGACCTCACTGATCTTGTGGACTGGAAGAAATTGGATAGTTCTTCCTAAGAGACAACACAGAAATGACGGGCTGAATGGCTTTCTGGGATGAAAAGGGACAGGCCATGAGGAAGTCCTGCTGTCCTTTTGCAGACTTTGTCACTGCAGGGGCATTATTCTATTTGCAATGAAATGATTGAAATTGTTCACACTTAGAATGAATGCAACTGGTGCTCCCACAGCACAATTTCCAATCCTTAAAGGTTTACCAAAGGTGATGTTAAAATACCCTTGGGTTGCACCACCACCCAGTCTGCTCTTGGGACACATTTTGTTTGAAGAACTGGTGCACTTTGTCAGTGGGCTTTGTGCTTGGAAATTATTTTGCTCTGTACCTGGAGTGCTCGAGCCTCAAGCCAAATAAGTAGCATGCAAACATGCTGAAAATCTCATCCATAAAGTTATAAAACAAGTCAAAAAAAGAGATTGTGTACCTGCTCTCCTCTAGGTCCAGGGAAGCTGAATCCTTGCCTTCCTTTGTCACCCTTAAAGTAAATTCAAGAAGGGAGTCAAATTGAAAGCACAAAGCCACAACATTTGAAAGATGGAAAGAGTTGCGTTTATAAAACGACCTCATACCAACAAGGTGTAGGGCTGGATGAACACAGCAGGCCAAGCAGCATCATAGGAGCAGAGAGGCTGACGTTTCGGGCCTAGACCCTTCATCGGAAAAGGGGGAGGGGAAGGGGGTTCCGAAATAAATAGGGAGAGAGTGGGAGGCGGATAGAAGAGGGATAGAGGAGAGGATAGGTGGAGAGGAAACAAACAGGTCGAAGAGGCGGGGATGGAGCCAGTAAAGGTGAGTGTAGGTAGGGAGTTAGGAAGGGGATAGGTCAGTCCAGGGAGGACGGACAGGTCAAGGGGGCGGGATGAGGTTAGTCGGTAGGAGATGGGGGTGTGGCTTGAGGGAGGAGGGAATAGGTGGGAGGAAGAACAGGTTAGGGAGGCAGGGACGAGCTGGACTGGTTTTGGGATGCTGTAGGGGGAGGGGAGATTTTGAAGCTTGTGAAATCCGACCCAATCCGACCCCACCACCAAAGACATCTTTCCCTCCCCACCCTTCTCTGCTTTCCGGAGGGACCACTCTCTCCGTGACTCCCTTGTCCGCTCCACACTCCCCTCCAGCCCCACCACCCCGGCACTTTTCCCTGCAACCGCAGGAAGTGCTACACCTGCCCCCATACCTCCTCCCTCATCCCCATCCCAGGCCCCAAGAAGACTTTCCACATCAAGCAGATGTTCACCTGCACATCTGCCAATGTGGTATACTGCATCCGCTGTACCCGTTGTGGCCTCCTCTACATCGGGGAAACCAAACGGAGGCTTGGGGATCGCTTTGCAGAACACCTACGCTCGGTTCGCAATAAACAACTGCACCTCCCAGTCGCGAACCAATTCAACTCCCCCTCCCATTCCTCAGACGACATGTCCATCCTGGGCCTCCTGCAGTGCCACAACGATGCCACCCGAAGGTTGCAGAAACAGCAACTCATATTCCACTTGGGAACCCTGCAGCCCAATGGTATCAATGTGGATTTCACAAGCTTCAAAATCTCCCCTCCCCCTACCGCATCCCAAAACCAGTCCAGCTCGTCCCCACCTCCCTAACCTGTTCTTCCTCCCACCTATCCCCTCCTCCCACCTCAAGCCGCACCCCCATCTCCTACCTACTAACCTCATCCCACCCCCTTGACATGTCCGTCCTCCCTGGACTGACCTATTCCCTCCCTAACTCCCCACCTACACTCACCTTTATTGGCTCCATCCCCGCCTCTTCGACCTGTTTGTTTCCTCTCCACCTATCCTCTCCTCTATCCATCTTCTATCCGCCTCCCACTCTCTCCCTATTTATTTCAGAACCCCCTTCCCCTCCCCCATTTCTGATGAAGGGTCTAGGCCCGAAACGTCAGCCTTTCTGCTCCTATGATGCTGCTTGGCCTGCTGTGTTCATCCAGCTCTGCACTTTGTTGTCTCGGATTCTCCAGCATCTGCAGTTCCTACTATCTCTTATACCGATAAGATACTTTCAAAGATTTGTTGCATCAAGAAAACATGGGATACATGAGACCTAACTATAAAGGGAACGTCGGAAACCACCAGCACAAACCTCAGGTTTAAAATGTTTACTTATGTGAATGTTAAGGTAGAAAGATCAAGCAGCTATCTTCCATCTCAGATTTAGTACTGAACACCAAAAATCAAGCTCACTCAGGCTTCCTCCCTTTTCTGATTGATCATCTCTCTCCTATATCAGTTCCACCGCCCAATACCAATCCCTCCCTTAGGCAATTTCTTTTTCTCTTCCGATCGCTCTCCCAATCCAATAACCTCATCTCTCCATGTCATTTTTTTCCCTCTGCCTTCCCCTTTCTCTCCTGAAAGATCTTGGCACCTCCCCATCTCGAGCATTCTTCCTGGTCACATTCTCTCCTCCCCTAGGAACCACCAGGGAGATGCTCCCCAAATTGAAATCCTCTTCACAAGTGAGCTTGCCAGTCTCCTGTAAATGAAGCCTGAACCCAAACTTAGGTGGGTAGTGGTACTATCTGCCACACAAATGCCAGAATGTGATCATCTTCAACCACAAAGAATGGAACCATCAACCATTGACATTCAATGGTGTTACTATCACTGAATCCCCCACTATCAATATCCTGGATGTTACCATTGACCAGCTCTTGTAGCCAGTGTCTGAGGCTAGGGATACCACATCAACTAACTCACCTCCTGACTCCCAAAGCCTGTTCACCATGTACAAGGCCTAAGTCAGGGGTGCAATGGAATACTCCCCAATTGCTTGGATGGGTGCAGCTCCAGTAACACTCAAGAAGCTTAACACCATTCAGGACAGCAGTGTGTTATTTGAAGATGTCCTGTGACAACTCATCAAGATTTCTTCAACAGCACCTTCCAGACCTTCCATCACCGAACAGGACGAGTGCAGCAGACAGATAACCTTCCCACCAAGTTCAACGTCACCCTGACTTGGAAGTATAATCGCCAGTATTTCCCTGTCACCAGGTCAAAATCTTGGAACTTCCTTCCTGACAGCATTATGGGTATAACTATATCACATGTGGACTGCAGCATTTCAAGAAGGCAGCTCACCACCACCTCAAGGACAACTATGGGTAGGTGATAAATATGGCCTTGCCAGTGATACCACATCCCATGATCACATTTTTTTTGAAAGTTATTCACAAGGGGGGAGGTGGTAGTGGCCTAGTGATATTACTGCTAGACTAGTAATCCAAAGATCCAGGTAATGTTCTGGGGACCTGGGTTTGAATCCCACTATGGCAGATGGTGGAATTTGAATTCAACAAAAATCTGGAAATAGGAGTCCAATGATAACCAGGAAAAAGTGGGTCAATTGTTGGAAAAACCCATCTGGTTCACTAATGTCTTTTAGGGAAGGAAACTCGCCTCCTTACCTGGTGTGGCCTACATGTTACTCAAGACCCGCAGCAATGTGGTTGACTCTTAACTGCCCTCTGAGCAATTAGGGATGGGCAATAAATGCTGGTCTAGCTGGTGACGCCCACGTATCACAAGTGAACAATAAAAATTGTTCTTCTCTCCAATATACACCCAGGTAGTACATGAAACCAAGTGGTTGATAGGCTGGAATAAATCTAGCTAACCAAACAACAGGGATGTCCTAAAGAAACACTTATGTATTATAGACCTCAAGGACTCCTATCCTTATCCATTGAGCTTTGGGCAAATAAATTGTTACAATATAATTATTACAATACTATAAATAGTTTATTATTAGTTCATCTTACTCTCAGGGCACCCTGCACAATGTAACAACTTCGCTTTCTTTCTTGCAGTTGAGCACATCTCTGTAACTTAATCCCGCTTGCCTACCTTAGGACCTGATGGTCCTATGTCTCCCCTTGGTCCAATCTCACCAGCATCTCCTCGCGATCCCTGAGGAAGACAAAAAGCAGGTTTTAAATGGATTGCAGATTTCCTGAGCTATGTCGGAAACAGCTCTCATGACCGAGGTGTGCCCATCTGACATTGGCTAGATGACCTCAATAACAGAAGCAAAATGGCAGCCCAGGTGAGATGAACCCCATATGCACATAGAAGACAGGCTGGGAAGGTTCCCCTTTGTTGGCACCGGAAAGTATAGACAGTGAAGGCAAGGACACTAAACAATGGGCTGAATGGCCTTCTTCTCCACTGTAACAATTTGGTGGTGCAGATACCTTCCCTGTCTCACCTTCAGAAAGCATAACTTGCCACCTTGCTAGTGACACCCTTTTTCAATTCAGCCCATGTTGAGATGACCCTGATAAGCAACAGTTTCAGACAGCCATCCTTATTATAGCAGTGAACATTGGGTCTGTATGTGGTCAATACTGGGTGAGTGGGCATTGGAAGACTTTGAGTTGACAGGGGGCGCACAGGCTATGGGTGGATCATACAGTGGCAGAGTGCACACAATGCAAATGGGTGTGACATGTATGGGCTAGAGGGTCCAAAATGTCTCAATACAACTGGGATGCAGTCCTCAAGCACTTAGCAGCCCTGCAGTTGTCTAGACTCTGCATATGCAGAGTCGCAGGGTAAATGAACCCAATTCTCATTCAACTGCCTCCACCCACCCTCCCATAGCACAGCCCACAGAGTTACAGAACGGTTTGGTACTGATAAAGGTATAGTCAATGATTATTCCTCTTCAGAACTAAAATACACCACTGAGCAACGTCACTGACGGCCTCAGTGAACCTCAGTTCTCTGAAGACAGGTACTACCTATGTACAGCAATGCGACCCTCTTGTGATACCAGAGCTCCCAAACCTGACTTGTGTTGAGAAAAAGACTGCTTACTGCAGTAAAAAAGACATCCAAAGATAGGCTCGCAGCTACCTCTGTGCGCCAATAATGAGATAGGCCAAGATAGACGGCACTGCCAGATCATCCTGGAAATCATTGCCCAGGCCTGTTTTGCAAATAATGTAGGAGGAAAGGGGGAGGAATGTCAAAAAATGCGTGACGCTCTCCAATTCCCTCTGAAGTCTTTGTATTTTTGAGCTGTAGGAATATTGGGAATTGGGTGAAGTGGAGGAGAAGTGAGAGGTGGAGGTAAACCAGAGCTGGCACCCCTAGGTTAGGCCACACAGTACTCAGTGGTTATCAAGCTCAGAAGCGGCAACTTACATTCAAGCCTGGCCCTCCAGGTAACCCTGGCGCTCCTCTTGGTCCGGGAAGCCCGATGTCTCCCTGTAAACAAAGCGAAGATTTCAATGAGTGAAGAGGAAATGGGTGTTTTCCCTGCTCTGACCAGCACAAAACTCTGGACAGCCAGCGGAGTGACCAGTGTTGGCCAAACAGAGAGGAAAGCTTCTGTCCACTTCAGGCCAAGAGGACTATGACAGATCTTCCCCCTGGTGTGGCAACGTTGGTCAAAAATATTTTAGCACCAAATCCCAAGAAAAGCCTCTCATGCTGCATTAAGACCAGGAAAGGCTTCCATTCATTGTAGTAGGAAGGAGGCTATTCACTCCACTCAAAACTGATAAGCCATTCAATTAGATCAGGGCTGACTCTATTAATCCACCTTAGGCCTACATCCCTTGATGAATTAAGAAAAATGGATCCGTCTCAGTTTTTGGAATGTTCAAATAACACCACGCCCTTCCACCCACCCCCAAACCCCTTTCCAGCCTCATGGCTTCTGGCAAAGGAGAGTTCCAGATTCCCAGTAACCATTGTGGGAACAATTGCCTCCTCACCTCAGGCTTAAATGGCCTAACTCTACTCAGATTCCTTCTGACATCCCTTCAAGAGGATCCAAGGCTAGTCCACATTGCCCTCTTCCATAATTCAACCATGTCAGTTCCAGTATCAGTCTGGTCAACCTGCACTGTATACCCCGTAAGCCCTCCAACCTCTCCTCTTCAAGGCCACTGTACCCAACTTGAGGGGCAATACCCAGAACTGAATAGCAAATTCAGATGGGCTCCAGAGCTCTTGTACTTATTTCAGCCATCCAAGAGAACAGTGAACATTCCAGTAGCCTTTTAAGTCTTTCCTTTGCATGCGCCCAGTTTAGTGATTCTGCAGTTTGACCACCCAAGTCTCCCTGCTCATTCACAGTTCCAAGCCATTCAGAAAATTCAAGATTGGCCGTTACCTTTTCACCTTTGCGTCCACCTTCACCTGGCAATCCTCGCACACCTTCATTTCCAACGTCGCCCTGTAAGCGGATCAAGAGCATGGTCACTGAGTTGAAAGGCATGATAATTTCAACTTTCAGCACAGTTTGCCATGATTGTTGCTATACCGTCACACGTAGGCTAACGTTCAAGTTAGATGTCAGCTACAGGAAAGCTACCCCGTTCAAAGACTGCCCGGAATTCCATGCTCACGTTTACCCCCATGTCAAGGCTGGCAAAACAGGTTGGCATCAACTCTGCTAAGTCTTGCTTGACAACTTAAGAGTTGCCAACTCAAAGTGGGTGGATTCTTGGAGGTCTAATCGTATGAACTCCTGAGTTTAGCTGCCACCCCAGCTTCTCCGTCCAAGAACTCCTTGCCCTGTGATGGCGGAATGAGTAGGAACGATTGAAGAAGATGCCGAGACAGATGATATATGACCTGATGACCTTGTCCTAACCACGTCCAGGACATTCCAGGGCGAAACTAGAATGTTGGGAACTCTACAATAACCTTGCCCAGTGGGCCACAACTGCCACTTTGAAAGGGGCAATGCCACCAGCTAGCAAATATGATGATTACTACCAGATAGCAACAATCCTGGCACAGCACAGCTGAGTAACTCAATTACTCTGCCAATGGATGTTACTCATGCAAAAACCTCTACTCTTCTTCAGCTTCCTCTCCCTTCCACATTTAACCAGCATTGTCGATAAGAAAGCACTGGAGAGACAAAACAAAATTTGTCCTCACCTTTTCTCCCACACCTCCTTTCGGCCCAGGAGCGCCTTTAGATCCCGTGTCACCTCTGCGACCCTAATGTTCAGAAACGAAAAAAACAACACAAGTTGAGAACTTCCCATCGTATGGGCATTGAGGCAAGGCCTAACTAGAAGCTTGCAAATAATGTTTAATGCAACTTCCTTTTAATTCTAACGTGTGTCTGTGTGTGGGTCTGGATTTGTACAGGCCACAATTTTAACTCAAAATGTTTTGAGTGATTTAAAATTGGGCACAGGCATAATTTGCCTATGTACATGTGCACTGTACTGCACACAAGACTGTGCTGATGCACACATAACTGCGTGTCTCTAAAGTGCACATTCCTTATCAACGCCTGGAAATAGACCATATAAATATGACAAAAGAGATTAAAGATTACCACATCTCCTTTGGGCCCAGGAATGCCTTTGTTACCCTGTGAAGTAAAACAAACAAGGCAATGTCAGTCAGTAAGAAGTCAACCTATGCCGGCTGGTTCCGACGTTTTATCCAGTCGTATTCGCTACTTGATCACCGCACATTTACTTCCACGTTGGGGCAAACAGAACTGCAGACTGGCTCACCGGTCTGCCTGACACCTCCACTTGTCTCACCCCCTCCCGTCCACAGTCTTCCCATCCCGTCTTCAAACACTTTCGGCCAAAGCTCCAGGAGCAGGACTTCACCTTCCCCAAGCACTGTGCGGGCCTCTGGTTTGAATGTGGGGGATTCAGAGCTCAAGGGTCATTGCCAGAACAAAGGATGGAACAACACTCAATGCCTCCTACAGTCACGATTGCCAGTCCCATCGCAAATCCCACGGACAGGGCCATCAAATCAGTCTGGAACAGGGACCTGCTGCATTTATGGAAGATACATTACCAACCTGCAGATTAAAGGGGGGAATCTCTTTAATCTCATTTTAAACCCCCAGACTAAGAGATAAAGCACTCCAATGGCCAATGGCTCCAATGGCATGCATAAATCTGGTCAATAGTGAGGTGCGGTGCTGTCTGAAACTAATTGCCTTAAATCTCGTAAGGTTTTTTTCTCTCTTTATGGGAGTCACATCAATTTTTAGCAGCCCCTAGGTCCACAGAGGGCCCCACAGAACAACGTAACAGGAAGAATTACTGGAGCAATTGATGCAATGGGTGCAGGCTGAATGTGCACCCAAGGCAAAAACGGCTGGAAGGGGCGTTAAAAAAAACCCCACACAAATGGGATGGGTTTTCTGATTTCTCCAGGCTGGCCCACTGGCTAGAGGTATGCTTCATCTGCATATTCACCTGAACTGGAATTCTGGCATCAATGAGGTAACTCCCTCCTCCCAGCACCCCCTCACCCAACAACTTAGTCTCAATAACACAAATAATTTGTTAATGGGAAGGAAGACCGGGTCAGGATTACAATTAACAGGCAGCAGATTCCGAAGCCCTCAATGAAAAGTCAGGATTGGTGGCTGTAATGGTTAAAAAAACACATTGTGAATGAATCAACTGATGTTTCCTTTAAACTGTTACTATGGTACATTTGTGCATTCTAAAGTTTTACGAGTTGGCACGGAAACAATGAGCTGGGAGCAAGTCACAGACAGCGAGTATTTTTATTCAGGCCATCTTTATCAACAGATTCAGAAGATTAACTTGACGTAGCATTTAAAGAATAAATCTTTAATGCCAGAGGAAAAGCAAGATAAGAAATATTCCTTCAAAAAAAAAGGACAGAGAAACAAACGGGGAGAAAGCAAGAATGAAGTACAAACAAAAAGAGTGGAGATGGAGCAAGATGCATAGAAACAGAAAATAAGACCAGGAGCAGGCTATTTGGCTCATTGAGCCTGAAACTGTAGCCAATATGATTATAGCTAATCATCCTCCCTGTTCGTGCTTTCACCCCATACCATTTGACTACTTTATCCCTCAAATCGTTCTTGAAAACATGCAATTTTTTTTGGCCTCAACTGCTTTCTTTAGCAGTGAGGGAGTGAAGATTACAAGAGATACAAAAAAGCCAGGAGAGTGAGAGGGAGAGGGGGAGTGTGGAGATAAAGAAAAGCAGAGGGTGAACAAATGATTAGCTGTAACTACAAAAGGAAAATACGAAAAGGAGAATGTAGGGTGCAGGAAAGGAGAGGCAGGAAGACAGAGAAACAGCAGACAGAGGAAGAAAGGAAGAAAGAAAAGAGGAAGGAGTGGAACAGAAACAAAAGGAAGAAACTATGAAAAAAGACTAGACAGTGAAAGGATCAGGGAGAACAAAGGTAGATGATCAGAGCTACATTCAGTTTCCAAGAAAAACTGGGAGAAACGGACACCAGACAGTAAAAGAGCAGTGAGAGAGTCAAGACTAGTCTGAGAGATTATATAAGAAGCACAGAATCCCTACAGTGTGGGAACAGGCCATTCAGCCCATCAAGTCCATACCTACCCTTCAAAGAGCATCCCACCCAGACCCACCCTTGTAACCCCACATATGAGAATGGAGTAATCATTAAATTTGAGTACAAAAGCATTATCCGACAGAATCTCTCCACCAACGCTCTAACAGTCTTCATCATGACAAAGTATAACTTCCTCTTACCTATTTAGACTACAACAAACCTAGGCACTAAGATTCAACCACCAGTGTTAGAAGGCAGTGGCTAACTCAGGACCTACCATCTTGCTTTTGGTTCAAAAAGTTAAAAATTACCTTTGCACCCTTCTGACCCATTAGGCCTGGACGTCCATCAAGTCCCACTGAACCCTAAGAGAAAACAAAAGCCATTAAATAACGGCATCTGAAGAGACAGTCTATTAATGCACATGTTTTCAGTCTCAATCCGGAATCTGGGAGAAACATTATAGGACCTGATGCTTGGTCTGTTTCCAGTCACCTCATACGTCCTCCCCACCATGTTTTAACCCTTCCCCTCATTTCCTTTGGGTGGCCATGATTGGGAACCATATTCAGGCTGGGGTTGAACTATTTAAGACAGGTTCAACCAAACCTTTTGCACTCTATGCCTTTAATTATAAAGCCCAGTAAAAGTTCAGGTTGCTAATGACACCACTTTACAACCATGGCTTTGTTAGACAATTACGAACCATCATTGTGTGTGTGTGTGTGTGTGTGTGTGTGTGTGTGTGTGTGTGTGTGTGTACTGGTGGGGTGGAAGGCAAGGGAAGTATCGGCAGTGATGAGATACAATCCACAGGGAGGACAGACAGCATGTTAGCTCAGAATGGCTCAGGGATGGTTCATACACAGCATCGAGAGTAAGAAGGGTATTCTAGGGTGGAGCTGAGGCACTTTTAGAGCTTTCGTTGACCTCAACGTACCAGTCTGCAGCCTCCAGCAATTCCGAATCCCCAGTGCCGGGCACGAAACAAAGGTAGGCCTACAGAATCTGATGATTCCCACTAGCCGATGATGGCAGCTTTTCAGAATAACAGACCCACTTTGTCTGTCAACTGGGATTGTGTATGTGCCCGCTTGGCTTTGGACGCAGATCACCCAGATTGACAGAGTACTCAACCAATGAGCCCAGGTTCCTCGACAGGAGCAGGCCCTGATTTATTAGCACTGTAAGCACCCCTGCTCCCCCAGACTCTATATTTATTCATAATGCCACAAAACCCCACTGGGGTATACAACAATGCACAATCCACCCCATTAGGTTTCACTCTGTCACACAGGAAGCAAAGCTTGAAGTGGCCCCTGCTATTGAGCAATTTTATGGTTAGCTGATTGATTGACACTTAGTCATAAGTATCTACAGCCCAGAAAAAAGGCCCTTCAGCCCATCAAATATGCATCGGCTAAAACTAACCAAAGTCAAAACCTGCTCCTCTGATGCTGCCTGGCCTGCTGTGTTCCTCCAGCTCCACACTGTGTCATCACTTAACTATCTAATCCCATTTCCCAGCACTTTGCCCATAGTCTTGCATGCTTTGGCATCACGTGCACAGTTGGATATTTCTTAACAGTTCTGCAGGTTTCTGCCTCTACCACCTTGATAGGCAGTGAGTTCCAGATTCTCACCAGCCTCTGGGTGAACATGTTTTTCCTCCTCTAAACCTCTGCCCCTTACCTTAAATCTATGCCCCCGGGTCATTGATCTATATATCAAGGGGAAAGTTCCTTTCTGTCTATTTTATCATAACAGATACTTAGCTAAACAGATTCTGCAAAGAAAAAAAAAGTGTAACACCCAGATACTTCATTTAGAAGAGCCATTCGGCCCTTTGACTAAGCCATGGCCTGATATCCCACCCTGAGCACTGGGAGAGCACGGCAGCTCATGATTTATAATGTTCTGCAGCTCCAAATGACTCTGCGGGGCAACATGAAAGTCAGTGAGTGTATCATGTGAAACATGAAGAACACTAAGAAACACACTCAGTTTCTGATGTTGTAGGACATCTTCACTCAGCATTAGACTAGCTGCATATAACACCCTGAATTATCTGAACTTATTTGCTGTATATACACACACACGTACACACACACCAAATGTCTTCTCAACTCTGCCTCAGAGAAGTACTTTGAAAGCTGGACACTTCCATTTCACATAATCATTAAATAAATACTGGAGAATGGATAGTTTTACAACTTGAGTCCACTCTGATAGGTATTTCTTTGCGCTTTCTCTCTCTCCCAACCAGTAATATTGACAGGAGACCTGATTACAAACAGACGATTCTGCCAAATGTCTGCTGATTAGTCCTGGTCAGATCCAGAATTTCTAAGTGAGCTGTTGAACTCCTCTTTCCTCTGTCCCCCTCTAAATGCATCTGTTCCAAACCAAATCTCTGAACTGCATGGGTACCAACTGTCCATGTCCCACACCACTGATTGAGTACCATTCCCAGATCTAATACCAGAAACGTTAATTCAGAGGCATTAAGAGCAAGGATGAGATTCCTCAAAACCAACTCAACACAAGACTAACAGATAGAGAACCATTCATATAGGTGGTACCTGATCTCAGCCCTAAAATTTTATAGGAGGCCAACTCACACCACGGACTATTCTTCATGGAGATTCCTATGATGGAATTGATCCTTGCACCAGGGAAAATCCACAGCTACCTACATGACATCCAGCAGGTCAAGAAACCATTCCTTGTTCCAGGCTTTCATTGTGATGACTTAGAACATAGAACAGTACAGCACAGTACAGGCCCTTTGGCCCACGATGTTGTGCCGAACTTTTACCCGAAACCTAAGGTCTATCTAACCTCCACCGCTACCTTATACTATCATCCATATGCCTACCTAATAGCCGCTTAAATGCCCCTAATGAGGCCGACTCCACTACCCTCTCCGGCAATGCATTCCACGCCCCTACCACTCTCTGAGTAAAGAACCTACCTCTGACGTCTCCCCGATATCTACCTCCTTTCACTTTAAAACTATGTCCCCTCGTAAAAGCTACCTCCACCCGAGGAAAAAGTCTCTGGCTGTCTACTCTATCTATACCTCCGATCATTTTGTACACCTCTATCAAGTCACCTCTCATCCTTTGTCGTTCTAAAGAGAAAAGCCCTAGCTCTCTCAACCTTTCCTCGTAAGACCTTACCTCCATTCCAGGCAACATCCTGGTAAATCTCCTCTGCACCCTTTCCAATGCTTCCACATCTTTCCTGTAATGAGGTGACTAGAACTGGACACAAAACTCGAGATGTGGCCGAACCAGGCTAACCTCCGTAGATTCCCCGAGAAAAATATACCCTCAATGGGTTAAAAGAGCAACATGAAACTGCTGCTGCTGAAGGAAGCACTTTAATTTATCAGCTTTTGTCTTTAGAGATACCAAAATGCTTTCCCAGAACCTCATCCCCTGTATCTGCAGCTAATACAATAGAAAAGTTCACAGAAACCCCACATTGCACAGAGTAGCCATTCAGATCATCAGGTCTGCACCAACCCTCTGAGGAGCCTCCCATCATACCAACTCTCCTTATTCCCCACCCTTCTCTTGGCTAACCCACCTGACCTACACATCCCTGAATACTATGGGCAATTTAGCATGGCCAATCCAGCTAACCTGCACATCCTGTGGGAGGAAACCAGAGCACCCAGAGGAAACCCACACAGACACAGGGAGAATGCAAACGCCACAAAGACAGTCACCTGAGGCTGGAATTAAACCCGGGTCCCGAGCACTGTGAAGCAGCAGTGCTAACCACTTAGCCATGATGCTGCCCAATACTTGTACCTCTACAATAACTGTCCAAACAGGCTATGAATTCTACCACACTCACTTTAGGACCTTTGTCTCCTTCATCACCAGGAGGTCCACTTCTTCCTGGGCGCCCGACATCTCCCTGAAAGAAAACAGACAGCATTATTCAACAGTTCCTCCCCTGGGAAGATCCACTGGACCTGCTACTGTGAGGGGGCTAGAAAATTGGATTGGCTCAGTAGATTCTACTAAAGGAGATCCTCAAAGAATAAAAGAGGCACCAAATTACAATGGGGGTTACTGACGACTGACAACTGAACTGGGCCAGAAACTAGGAATTTTGCAACAACTTACTCCCCTCCTATCTCCCCAAAGCCTGACTACCACCTACAAGGCACAAGTCGGGAATGTGATGGAATACTCTCAATTTGGTGTTTTCTTTCCTGCAAGCCTTCTCATATCCTATTTCATCTTATCTTATGTCTCCTTTCAGGGTACCCAGTGCTGTATGGAATTTGGTGCTGGAAATACACTCAGACAAACTTCCAAGCTAAAGACACCATTGTATTAACAGTGTTGGGTAGGAAGCTAAATATACTATCAGCAAACTCAGTTCCATTCTTGTTTGCTCATCAGGATAAAGGCATTATTTGGCCAAGAAAGAATGGAATCTCTTTAATGGGTGAAAAATGTGGTACTTGGTGCATGTTCAACATGGCCCAGTTTTGGGGATTTCCCGACCCAAGAAAGCCTGAAAATCGGTCTGACCTAAAATTGGGTTGATTTACTTTTCAGGGATACAGGGAGGCTACCTAAATCTTAAATGAGGAGCCTAATGCGTATTTAACAGAAACTGGAAACCAATGAGATGGCCAGACACCAGGCCTTACACTTCTGGGACTTCTCAGTCACCATCACAGCTTGGAAGGCAGAATCATGTCCCAGATTCCAGAGTTGTTGGATCGATGCCCCCTTTCCCCTCATTGCCTCCTCCGACCCCCTGTCTTCAAGGTTTAGCTTCAGTCTGATGCTAATGAGATGAACAGCCTGACCTTTGACATCTCCAATGTGCAGGTTGTCCCTGTGGAGGCACCATCTACTAACGGGAAAGGGTTCAGAGTCCCCAAGCTCAATTTCCAGCCAACCTCAAAAACTGAGACGAAAAGTACCTTTGAAGTGCAGGATCTTAGGCCCAAAACAAAAAACGGCCCAAACACACTGATATCCCAATGTGTTCCTGTTTTCTAACATCAGCGTCAATTTTCCTTTAGTCTCAGGGAAGTTGTAGAATGAGGGAGCACTAGGTTCTGATTTACGGATGAACCATGCCACCTTTGCGAGGTACCTGGATTAAGGTTGGATATTAGGTGGAGCTCCAACTTCCCAGTATTGTGACCTTAATCACAGGAAAGGAACAGCCGTTGCCACAGAGGGGTCTGACCCTCTATGACCCATACCCGCAGACCTCTGACCTTGACATTAGAGAGCCAACCAAAACGTTAGCTCTTGCTTCAGCATTCACTGTTGGTGAACCAGGTTCTTCTTTCAGCTTGAATGCTCACCGAATGACCTAATAATTAAAAGAAAAAGTTCCTTTTTTTTCAATAAGCAGACACACACACACACACACAAACCTTCGGCCCAGAGTCACCAGGAAATCCTCGCTCACCAGCTTCTCCGGGATAGCCAGGGGCTCCCTGTGAACGACAGAATGACAGCCTTGTTATACACAGCATGTTGGATAATGAACGAGAAGCAGTGATTAACCCTGTCTAACTCTGGGCAGCCACAAATACACAGCCCTTTGGTAACACCTTGGTCATCAGTCAGCCGGGCAACATTTTGAAATGATCAGTGGTCTTTCAGGCACATCTTTTATTAAATATAACTGCTGACCTGTTGAGGACATGGGAGTCTGAGCCTAGAACTGTTTGCGAGTCATGCCCCTGAAACATTCCCATTTCAATTCCACTGCCAACTCCTCGGGTAGTCTCATCTGATTCAGCACTTCTGTGGCGTGCTCGCTATTCTAATGTAGGAAATGCAACTGTCAATTTAAGCACAGCAGTTCCCACAACCAGCATGGAGATGACGATCAGACAATCTATTTCCTAACTGGTGTTGCTGAAGGGGTAAAAGCTGGCCAGGAAGCCAAGAACTCCATTTCACCCCCTCAAAACATTTCCATGGAATCTTATATTCCCACCTTAGACAGCAGATGCGTCCTCTAGTTAACATCTCATTCAAAAGATAGCACTTTTGACAGAGCAGCACTGGGCGAGTATCAGTCTAGATATTTTCACTCGAGTGCCACTTGAACAGACGGCCATCTGACTCAGAGCTACCCACTGAGTGACGGGTGAAAGGTGACATTCACAACAGGGAGCTCGAGATTTGAGCGATCATCACCGGCCTGTTAAAGACTCTGATCACCAAAGAGCCAGGCTGGTTTCTGGGAGTCTGCTATGGAAGAAACCGGGTGAACACAGGTTGATGCTGGGTGTGGGCAGGTGATCACTGTAGCCTCTCGCATTCACTCTTCCTTACATCTCATTCTTTCCCTGTCTCTCAACCATTGCTGTTTGCATTTATCAACCTCTCTCAGACCATATCCCTGTAAAGGTCCATTCCTTAGAGTGTTGATGTCTCTACTGCCGTAATACAAGAACCCTGAGCAGCATTTAGAAACAAGGGCAGCTGTTTCTGCTGAATGACTGATGGCACGTGATGAATAGAGCTTTGGCTGTTGCCACTTGAAGCACTCATGAATCCCCACCAGATCTCCAAAGTGAGCTGCACACAATGGGCTCCCATTAACTGGGATTGAGATAATGACCGCATTACAGTCAGTCATGGGATATACTCTTACAATTGGCTTGCCCAACAACTTGCATTTACATAGTACTTTTAACTTCGTAAAACATCCCAAAATGCTTCATGACTGCGATTAGACCAAAAATCGACATCAAGCTAAAGGAATCAATAGAAGGGATTTTGCCAAAACTTAGTCAAAGAGGTTAATTTTATTGGAGGCCGGGGAATGGTACAGGGGAATGAGCAGAGGTTTCAGGAGGAAATTAGAGGGATTGGGACATGGATAGCTGAAGGAAGGGCCCCCAATGATTGCACAAAAAGACAGGGGCTGAACAAAGAAGCTAGAACACAGAATGCTTGCAGGGCTGTAAAGTAGGAAGAGGCTAAGAAATAAGGAAGCAGGAGGTGGTGGAGACATTTGAGTATTCTTAAAATGAATTAATAGAGTGTACAGTCTATTGGGGAGGCGATGGCCTAGTGGTATTATTACTAGACTCTTAATCCAGAGACCCAGATAACATTCTGGGGACCTGGGTTGGAATCCCGCCACGGCAGATGGTGGAATTTTTTATTTTTATAAAAAATATCTGGAATTAAGAATCTAATCATGACTATGAATCCATTGTCAATTGTCAGAAAAACCCATCTGGTTCACTAATGCCCTTACCTGGTCTGGCCTACATGTGACTCCAGACCCACAGCAATTTGGTTGACTATGAACTACCCTCTGGGCAATTGGGAATGGGCAATAAATTCTGCCTGGTCAGCAATATCCTCATCCCATTAATGAATAAAAAAAAAAGCCAATTTAGACCAGCAAGCAGGGCTGATAGATGAACAGGGCATAGTGTGTGTTAGGATACAGATGCATTGAAGTTGAGGGGCCGTAGATGATGGAATATTACATTGGGGAGAAATGGAATAGAGTAGTCTAGAGGTGACAAAAACATTGATGAGATTTCAGTGGTGATGGATTGATGCAGAGGTAGAGGAGACAGTTACTACAAAGGTAGAAGCAGGTAATCTTGATGATGTGGAGGATGTGGGAGTCAAAGGTTCAGTTCAGGGTCAAATAAGGCGACAAGATTAGGTATTGCCTGGAACAATGACTAATAGAGAGGGGATAAAATCTGCAGTAAAGAATGGAGGCTACTGCCGAGAGCGAATACAAGGGCCATGGTTTTCTTCAAGGTTTCACTGGAGGAAGTTGGGTCAGTGGTGTAAATATGGAACATGCAGCAATATCTTCAGATCATGTCAGTGAGGGAGAGAAGTTAGATGAATTTACCTCACATCTTATATATCCTTCTCCTTTAGCAACTTTATAACATTAAAGACGCTTCATAAAAATGCAACATCAAATCAACAGTGAGTTAAAGAGGAGAGGTAGTAAATCAGAAAATCATGATCAGATTGAGTTTAAAAGTTCAGCTAACTGCACAAAAGGGAGGTGGCTTTGGAAAAGTGAGCTGGAGAGGGGGCTAATTCGATGAGTCCCAACTCCAGCACAGAAAAGAGGGACGTGGGGGAGCAGCGTGGGGGGTAAGTCAATTGCCATTTAGGAGACAGAAAAGGGGAATTTACACAGTAGTAAAGGCCCAAAAGGACTTTACCAGCTTCATTTTCATCTTGCACCAGAAAAACATCAGCTATTCGAGGACTATTGTGAAATTTGGACAAAGTTGGACCTTCAAAAGCTTAAACAGTTGGTGAGAAACATTCAGCATGGAGGGGGAAAGCCAGCATCTGGCTGACAGGTTTTAGTTATGAAAAGCACGTGGGAACTCCACTTGAAGTGAGAAAAAATATTTCAGTCAAGAATATTTATAGATGAAGAAAGATTAATGGGTGAGCTCAGAATGAAGTGGTGGTGATGTTTTTTCCACTGGCTTGGTATGAAGGCAATATAATTTGGAGAGCTGAAAGATGCAAGATTTTCATTATTCCATCAAATATCATGAGTGAATCAAGATGTCATGGCATTGGAATCAGATGGGCAGAGTTCTGCATGCAACGAAGGTGCGATCTGTGCGAAGTTATTGAATTATGGCAGTAAAGGCATCAAGGAACGGACCTTTACAGGGATATGGTCTGAGAGAGATTGATAAACGCAAACAGCAAAGATGGGCAGGAAGGAACAATGGTTGAGAGACAGGGAAAGAACGAGATGTAAAGAAGGGTAAATGCGAGAGGCTATAGTGGTTACCTGCCCAATTATATTGGGATTGGGCAGAGTGGAACTTTAGAATCTATGTTTTAAATGGAGGACCAAATTGCAAATTTTCAAAGCTGATTACAAACAAGCCTAAAAGAGGACTCCTTGAATGACAAGCATAAAGTAAAACCCTGAAGGTAATGAGGATTAAGTCAGATGATGAGCTGAACTAATTCTCCGAAAGACAACAGTGATTCAGTTACCGGGTCACCAAGGTCTCCTTTGCATCCTGGGGGTCCAATACGTCCAAGTTTTCCCTGAAAGTCAGAAACAAAGGAAAAAACACCAAGTTCACTCCAATTTCTCTGAATGATCTAATCTTGCCAGCAGCATTTACATCTACTGTGCTACATGATCCAAATTTATACACAACAGACATTTGGTACTGCATGCTAAAGGTGTAATAACAAAGTTTATTGTATACACGATATCATGTTGTTTGGATAGTGGTAATGCCACTGAACTGATGATCTAGAGGGCCAGGCCGAAGTTCTGAGATTAACCCTCACTATGACAGCTGTTAGTATTTATAGTCAGTGAATACATCTGGAATTGGAAACTAAACTCAGCAATGGTAACTATTAATTGTTCTAAAAACATTTCAGGAAAGATAAATCTGCCACCCACACACTATCTGGGCTATATATGACTCCAGACCGACCACAATGTGATTGACTCTTAACTGCCCCCTGAGCTGGCCTTATTAGTGATGGGCTCCCTGTTCTGGATTCCCCATTCGGTGGAAAGATTTTCTCAGCTTCTACCCTGCCAAGTTTCTTCAGAATTTTGTGCGCCTCAATTAGATCACCTTTCATTTTTTAAAAACTCCAGGTAAAACAGTCCCAGCTTTCTCAATTGCTGCTTACAGGACAACCCCCTTAGCCAGGGAACCAGTCTAGTGTGCTTTCATTGCATCGCCTTTAAGGCAAATCTGTCTTTTATTAGGTAAGGAGAGAAAATTGCACACACTTGTTCATGTGTGGCATCACTAATACTCTGCATAACTGCAATAAGATTCCTTTGCTTCAAATTCCACCACCGCAGCTGGAGTAAATTAAATTCTATTAATTAATAAATATGGAATAAAAATTTCATTTTAATCAGTGACCAGTGATTGTTGTGAAAACCCATGTGGTTCCCACTTGTCCTTTAGGGAAGGAAATCTGCCGTCCTTATCCAGTCTGCCTACCTGTGAATGCAGGCTGGTTCACTGCTAACTCTGAAATAAGTGAGCAAGCCATTATAGAAGGAGAAGTGCTGTAAGAATATTTGTATTACATGGCTCAACCGGGCAGTTTACTAACACCTTCACAAGGGCAATTAGAGCTGGGCAATAAATCTGGCCTTGTTAGTGCCACTTACATTCAATGACCTACCCTAACATCAAATTCCAGCATTTTGTCTGCTACTGATGTCAGGCTCGTTGGCCTGTAGCTCTGTGCTTTGTCTCTTCCTCTTAATTAGCAGCATACTGTTTGCTACCTTGTAATACTTGGGAACTGCTCTTGCAGAATTTTCCAAAATCCGAGATCAAGATCAATGGATCGACTATCACTGCAGCTCTTGCTCTCTTTTTAAATCCTTGGATACACTTCATCAGCTCCAGGGAATTGTTGCATTCAGTCCCACAAATCTTGCTGGTACTTCTTAAAAAAAACTTATACGAGGTTTATTTAAATCCTCATTCTCACCAAATCCCTGGTTCCTCATTATTTCTGGAAGATGTTCTGTAGTTTCTGCTTTGAAGACTGTTACAAAGTCAGAAATCACACAACACCAAGTTATAGTCCAACAGGTTTATTTGAATACACAAGCTTTTGGAGTCTTATTCCATCTTCAGGTGTTAGTGAGAGTGGTATCAGACAGTGAAAGAGTATCAGAAAGTAAAAGATCAAAGAGTCACACCATTGATGAGGATGTAATAAACAAACCTAAGATGCTGTTAACTCTTCAATCAGTTATAAGGTTTTAATTGATTAATATGTGTACGTAAATCCCCGAATTCCTTTCAAGTCCATGTCCTGTGAGAACTAAAGGTTTTATCAGTGTAAAGAAGAGGTGACATTTTAGGTCAGACAATGCATGTTAGGTGTGAGGCCTTGTTTGGTCTCACTACAACAAACACTCACAAAGGCCAAAAACCCCACACCCATGACATGCAGGAGCAACGTAGTTTACAAAATACCTTGCAATGACCGCAACAAACATTACATCGGCCAAACAGGAAGGAAACTAGTCATCAGGATACCCGAACATCAGTTAGTAGCAAAACAACACGACGAACTTTCCCTTATCTCAGTGCTCTCGGACCATGAAGGCCATCAATTTAACTGGGACAATGTGACCATCCTTGCTCAAGTCAACCACAGACACGCACGGGAATTCCTAGTGGCCTAGTTTTCAACCCATAATGCGATCAATAAACATGTAGAATTACAGCCCATATACAAACCCATGCTAAAAAAGAACTGGAAATGACACAAACCAACTTCATAGGCCAGATCATATAAATTCCAAGCAGAGTAGAACAACATCGCTTCATCGGAGGTCACATTGACGATGTTACCTAGCATGGTGACTAAACTTCTGTACAATAACCAGCCAGCTCGGCGAGCAAGCCAACAACCTCCTCCACAACTCGAGCTACAAATCTTCGCAAGAACGCTGTTACAAGACAGTTGTTCCAGTCTCTGCCTTTTCCTTACTCTGCTTCTGCTTCCAACGAAGCCACATTTACTTCCTCTAAACTTTTCCTACTGACATTTACAGAAAAGTTTACAATCTGTTCTTCATCTCTCTTGTAGTCTACGCTGATATTCTCTTTCCTTAATAAATTCTGGTGTTTGTTTGTTGATTTCTGACATTCTCCCAAACCTAAAGCTCACTAGTTATTTTGGCAGCATTATAAACTTTTCCTGTGGTTTGATATTAAGTTTAACTCCCCTTGTCAACCCACGGGCGGATCACTCTGTGGGATTTTTGTACCTTAAAAATAGCTTCTTTTGTCAAATTATGTATTAGTTGTGTAAAAGGCATCCATTGTTTGTTTACCTTCATGTTGTTTAATAAAATTTCCCAATCTACTAATAAAAATTAATTCCAACCATAGTTTTCTCCCCCTTACTGTTGCTTAGCTTTAATTCTGCTTCCTGATTTTCTGAGATAATATACTTTCTCTTCACTATCTTTTTATCTCATTCCTTATCATTAGAGCAGCAGTTTCTCCTTTTACGATTTACCCATCTCTTCAAGCCGTTAATTTAATATCTAGTTCCCAACATTGGTCACGTTCAAACCACATCTCTGTAATGGTTATTAAATAAAACCCATCCATGTCTATCCTTGCTATTAATTCATCTAATTTGTCACAAATATTTCACACAGTTACCATGCCTTTAGCTTGTGTCACCTTAGTGACTAATACTCTATTCTCTTTGCTATTGTCATTGTCTCTTCAGGACTCACTTGGTTTATTCTTATCCAAACACTGACCTGTCCCTGAGCCTTGACATTTCCCTCACTTCTTCTGATTTTACCTTTTCCCGAAGCTGTTTCAAAGAGCTTCCAGAACTCTATAGTATTGAGGTTTGTTGACTTGCTTGCTGAGCTGGCTGTTTTTGTTCAGACGTTTCGTCACCATGCTAGGTGACATCATCAGTGGAGCCTCTGATGAAACGATGTTATCCTATTCCGCTTGGAATTTATACTGTACAGTCCGATACGGTGAGAGCTGTCATTTCCAGTTTTGATATGAATGGGTTTGCATATTGGGTCCAAATCTATATGTTTGTTGTTTGAAGTATGGGTGGAGAAACTTTAAATTCTATAGTACTGTTTGAGTCCGGACTAGAATCTACACATTCCTGACTATAGAATCATACAATACAGAAGAGACCCTTTGGCCTATTGAGTTTATACCACCAAAAATACACTAAATCTACACTAGTCCCACAGTCTTGAATGTTATGACACTTGAAGAGCTCATCCAAGTACTTGTTAAAGGTTGTGAGGTTTCCTGCCTCAACTACCCTCCCAGGCAGTGCATTTCAAACCCCCACTGCCCTCTGGGTGAAAGAGGTTTTCCTCAAATACCCTCTAAATCTCCTGCCTCTCACTTTAAAAGTGTGCTACCTTGTTCGTGACTCCTTGATTAAGGGGACTATCTGCTTTCTATTCACCCTGCCTCTCATCACCTTACATAAATCAAACAGGGCCTCCCTCAATCTTTTCCGCCCCAAAGGAAACAGCCTGAGCTTATCCAGCCTGTCTTCACAGCCAAACTGCTCCATCCCAGGTGGATCTCCTCCACACCCTCTCCTAGTGCAATCACATCCTTTCTATACCAGAACTGCACACATACTCCAGCTGCGACCTAACCAAAGTCCTGTACAGCTGCAATTTAACTTCCCAACTCTTATACTCTATGCCTTTGTACGCATTCTTAATGAGCCTATTAACCTGCCCTGCCCCTTTCAGGGACAAGAACCACAAGATCCCTCTCTTCCTCTCAGCTTCCCAGTGTCCTGTTGTTCGCTGGATGCTCCCTTATCTTGTTTCTCCTTCCAAATTTCATCACCTCCCATTTATCAGACATAAATACTGTCTGCCACGGATCTACCCATCTGACCAATGTGTTTATATTCTCCTGTGACCCAACATTTCCACCTTCCTCCTCACTGTCAATCACCAGGTAATCTTTGTGTCATCTGCAAATTTACTTATAATCTTCCACCTCCTCCTCCCCCCTTAACATTCTTATCTACATCATTTATGAATATCACAAACAATAAAGAACCCTGAACTGATCCCTGTGGTATGTCACTGGGCATGACCATTAGTGTTTAATTCGCTTCATCCAGTATAGGATCAAAGCACCTACCTTCTGTCCATTAATCCCATCTCGACCTGGTAATCCAGCAATACCCTAAAGGATACATGAGAAGTAATGAGATAGTGTTAGGGATCCATAGACAGGTCAACAATCTAAAACAGGTAAAGTATTAAATGTAGCTCATGAGAGACAGTGAGAGCAGGAGACAGCATGAGAGAGAGCACAAAAGAGAAGATGAGAGATTGAGAGTGAGAGAGAGAGAGCATCATACAGAGAGTAAGGAAGAGAGAATGTGAGAGAGCATAAGAATGAGTGACAGTGACAGGAGGGCAAGAGAGTCGGTGAGGATGAGCACGAGACACCAGGAATGTGCGTGAGAGAGAAAGAGAGAGAGAAAAAGAGAGAGGGTAAGAGGAAGCACAAGAGAAATATAAAAGATTGTGCATGAGACGGAGCGTGAGAGGTGGCACATTAGAGAAAGTGAGAGAGAGCCTGAGAGAGCATGAGACTGAGCTTGAGACAGAGCGAGAACAATAGACTGCAAGAGGGATAACGTGAGAAAGTGCAAAAGAGACCGCAAAAGAGAGCGAAAGAGGAACAGAATGAGAGACAGCATGAATGTAAACATGAGAGAGAGAGAGTCTAACTCAGAAGGGAGATCTCACCTTCTTTCCTTCACCTCCAATTTCACCCTGTAATCATAAAGAGGAACATGTTCATACATCATAAGTATCGTCATTAAATTTAAACCCAGTAGGATTGAGGCAAGTGAATAGGAAGATTCAGCGGGACAATCTCCTCCACTCTGCAGTGTCCATAATCCAGGTGCCTTAATGACAAGAAACTCTCATGACTGACCAGTTTCTCCAAATTCATTCAATTGTTCCTTCTTGCAACCTTGGAACAGGCCAGTTTGACAGAGTTCAGCTTTGTGCTGGGTTCTTGTACTTTCCCCTGGACTTCAGCTTTCTCTGGGTAATTTCAAAATCCCACATCTTCCCACTATGTGATGCTTGCTCCCACCTGCATGAAGAGATGGTGCTAGCACAGAGGGTTGGTGGGACTGGAGTCGCTCCACAGAGGATGGTGGTACGGCCTCAAACTACCGTTGGTTGACGTAATCTGCATTGGGCCCTGTCGCCATCTTGTAATGGCATCAGTGAGGGGTTGAACCAGGTGGCACCAGTCTTACGAACTAACTGACATGTGATCACTTTGTTAGGATCTAAATTCCTATTTTCCAGGATGGGTACTATTACTGCCGTTCCCAATAGGATCAGGCCCAATGGACATGACACAGAATAGAAACATTAGGCTGCGAATGGCCAAAACCGAACAATGCTACCCAAAACTGAACCAGGTAACAAACGGTCACCTGGGAGCCTGTTGAAACAGGCTAATCTAAGTCTACTCCAATTGGGATCCTACACCTGATGTTGATCTCAAACCAGACAGCTCATTCGGCTCTGGGTGGGTCCAAGCAACACCTTTGGAGGCCATGGACAGTCCTGCTTTTAGTCCCACCCCTTTCAGTTTTATCCCTGATTCTCTACAACCCTGCTTGCTACAACCGTTTCCTCCATTCAAGGTTGGTGAGAAATTCAAGTCTCCACCACATGTCACCATGCCAACAGTGATGAGGACATGTCCCTTGAGTACCACACGCCCAACTTGCGACCTGCACACTGGATGCCCACTTAGCACCTGCAGTGTCCCAATGGAATCCAGGTCCAGGAGCAGCATAACACTTGGCGAGGCCCAGTCAATACCCTGGGCACAATGCCTAATTTGTGGAACACGTTGGAGGGGCTGGAGGTCCAAACCTTCAAAGACACATTAATGATGCCAGCTGCGTTTTAATACATGACGGCTCTGCTTGGAAGTCAGAGTTGGAGATTTGAAACAAAAAAAGAGGTCTTACCTTTTCACCTATAGTTCCCGGATAACCCTGTGAAAGGGAGAAAAGAGGCATATTAACATAGCCAATCGGAGCACGAGATACTGGCATGCCTCAATCCAGTGCATGCCAATTGTCCAAGCCATGTGTTGCCAAAGGGACATAAAGAATTACATGCTTACGTGATTATGAGAGGTCATCCTGAGGAACAGAACAGTTTGTAGTTACATACCTAAGGCAGATTCTTACACAGAGTAATTCACCCCTGCCACCCTGCCGGTGTCAAATCTGCTAAATTCCCACTCTATTCAAGTTGATGGAAATGAGAACTAGGCTGTCTATACTGCTCAATTGCCGCTCCGGCAACTATGGGGGCTACCTTACCCCATCCTTTCCACAAGCCCTGTGCCAATTTTTACACCCGAATGGATCAGATACCGAGTGTTAGAATAGTTGATCTCTGACGTGCACCCTCAATATTCACAGAGCCCCGACTGACCTGCCCTCTGCTCGCACACTTGACAAGGGCCCATTGCTGGGATCGAGGACTGAGTTCAAAGGATGACAAAGATGGTGGCCAACAGCTCCAGGGTTCCGTGTCTGGTGGACAGCGGCAGCACATGCAGACACCAACGACTGTGACTTGGGTGGAGGTGGGTTATTGACTCCACCAGAACCTCTCCCCCTCAGGTTCTGGCTCTATGTGATTGGGCATCATCTAATGGCACACGCTAACAATAGATAACAGCTATTTCCCACTTATGCTCTGAGCTCCCCTTTGCTCTGATTGCCAAGCACTCTTGCCTTGGAGAAGCACTCCTCACAGGAATTTACTCCTGTAAGCTCCTGGAGTCAGAAGCTCAGGCTAGAGTGGATTCACGTCCAGTAGACTCAGGGTAACTTGTATTTAGGCATTCCACGGTTGTGCTCCTGGACTCGAAATTCAAAAGTGGGGCCTAATCATCTAACCACAGCAGTCTGTGAATTTGAATACAGTTTCTGAAAGTTGAAATATTTGACTTACACAAAAAAAGGAAACGGAATGTTAGTACCCATAAAAGTAATGGTAAAGCAGTCAGATTATTATAAAAACTCAAATGAAAGTGCATTCTCTGGTTTACTTTTGGGACTTCTCAAATCAAATGAGGTCCACAACCAGTTAATTAGGGATGGTCATTAAATACCACTCTTCTTAATGAGAACCGATTGTAAAGAAAACACAAAGGGATTGAAATTATGGGGCTTGTAATTTTTTTTTTTAAGTGCAACACACAGATGTGGATGGAGCTTCTGTACATTCTAAACTCATTTAATCGAAGAGGCTGGCAAACTCCACACCGCAGTGTGATTGCAACCTCAAAGTTAGTCACACATCTAATCAAAATGTTGCTTCAACCAGGTAGGATCGGCCCACTGTCTCTTTTCACTCCCCCTGCCTATGCTGCCTCCCAATTATCCCTGCCAGAAGCAATGAGAGGACTATGCTCTCATAGGTGAACAACAGTGAATGAGCTTTAGTGAACATAACTATAGAAAGACGTCTTATTTGGACCTAGGTTCTAGTTCCATGTGACTTAGCCTCACTTTAACAAAAGTCATTTAGCACATTTGTCTATACCTAGTGTAAAGCTATAACTCTCGTCAGAATCATAGAATCCCTACAGTGGAGATGGTGGCCATTTGGCCCATTTGAGTCTGCAATGACCCTCCAAGGGGTATCCCACCCTCTGCCTGTATTTACGATGGCCAATCCACCTAACCTGCACATCTTTTGGCTATGGAAGGAAACCAGAGCACCTGAAGGAAACCCACACAGACACTGGGAGAATATGGAAACTCCACACAGACTGTCACCCGAGGGTGGGATCGAACCCAGGTCACTGGCACTGTGAAGCAGCAATGCTAACCACTGAGGCACCGTGCCACCCATACTCCACACGACAATACCCTGCCCACCTGTCACATGTTGAAAACTGTACAGAAAGCAGTTTAGGCACTCGATGGTAGGAAGCAGAGGGTGATGGACTGGAGGCCTGTGACTAGTGGTGTGCCACAGGGGTCGGTGCTGGGACTTTTGTTATTTATATAAATGATCTGGATGCAAATGTACAAGGCATGATTAGTAAGTTTGCAGATGATACAAAATTCGGAGGTATCATTGATAGCGAGGAAGGTAATCAAAAATTACAGAGGGATCTTGATCAGATGGGGAAGTGGGCTGAGGATTGGCAAATACAGTTCAATACAGATAAGTGTGAGGTGTTGCACTTTGGAAAGTCAAACCAAGTTGTACTGTAAATGGTAAGGTCCTGAGGAGTGTTGTGTAACAGAGGGACCTAGGAGTTCAAGTACATAGTTCATTGAAAGCAGCATCACAAGTGGACAGGGTGGTGAAGAAGGCATTTAGCACGCTGACCTTCGTCGGTTGAAGCACCGAGTATAGGAGTTGGGACTTTATGTTACAGTGTGTAAGTCGTTGGTGAGGCCCGCACTTGGAGTACTGTGTACAGTTTTGGTCACCACGTTATAGGAAAGACATTGTTAAACTGCAAAGTGTGCAAAGATGCTTTCATTCATCGGACGGGGTATTGAGAAGAAGAGTTGGCAGGTCATGTTGCAGTTGTATAGGACTTTGGTTCGACCACATTTGGAATACTGTGTACAGTTCTGGTCGCCACATTACTAAAAGGATGTGGATGCTTTGCAGAGGGTGCAGAGGAGGTTCAACAGGATGTTACCTGGTATGGAGGGTGCTAGCTATGAAGAGAGGTTGAGTAGATTAGGATTATTTACGTTAGAAAGACTGAGGTTGAGGGGGGACCTGATGAGGTCTGCAAAATCATGGGAGGTATAGATAGGGTGGATAGCAAGAAGCTTTTTCCCAGAGTGGGGGACTCAATTACTAGGGGTCACAATTTCAAGGTGAGAGGGGAAAAGTTAAAGGGAGATATGCGTGGAAAGTTCTTTACGCAGAGGGTGGTGGGTGCCTGGAACGCGTTACCAGCGGAGGTGGTAGAAGCGGGCACGATAGCGTCATTTAAGATATATCTAGACAGATACATAAATGGGCAGGGAGCAGAGGGATACAGATCCTTGGAAAATAGGCGACAGGTTTAAATAGAGGATCTGGATCGGCGCAGGCTTGGAGGGCTGAAGGGCCTGTTCCTGTGCTGTAATTTTCTTTGTTCTTTGTTCTAAGAAGATTTATGAGGATGTTGCCAGGACTAGTAGACCTGACTTATTGGGAGAGGTTGGCCAGGGTAGGACTTTATTCTTTGGAACGTAGGAGAATGAGGGCTGATGTACTGTGGTGCATAAAATCATGAGGGGCATAGATAAGATGAATGCATAAAGTCTTTTTTCCAGGAATGGGGAATTGAAAATTAGAGGGCATAGGTTTAAGGTGAGAGGGGACAGATTTAAGAAGGACCTGAAGGAACTTCTTCACACAGAGAGTGGTGCCAATATGGAATGGGCTGCCAGAGAAAGTGATTGAGGCAGGTACGATGGCAATATTTAAAAACATTTGGATAGGTACATAGATGGGAAGAGTTTTGGAGGGATATGGACCAAATGTGGATAATTGGAACTAGCTGACTGTGCACCTTGGTCAGCATGGACCAGTTTGGGCTGAAGGGCCTGTTTCCATGCTGTTTTACTCTTTGGCTGAGTAGAAGACAATTATTTTTGCAGTCAAGAGAAATGAACAAGCAGCAGAGTTTAATAAGGGAAGATTCCTTGGTGCGGAGGGATTACCAGGGTCCCCTCAGGTCTGTGGGCTGGGAGACGTGAGTTGGTGGAATCCCAGAAGCCCCACAAGGCCCAGGAAAGCAGTAAACAAGTGCCTTCATCTCTTACCTTAGGACCAGGGAATCCAATGGGGCCTTCAATACCAGGATCACCCTACACAAGAAGAAACAAAATGTTTATTCACACATGTGGTAAATACAAAGCTGGCGTTGCTAACATAAATCTCTCAATAAAAAATAAGACTTACTTGCCGTCCCGGTGGGCCTGGATCACCCCTCTCACCACTGCTTCCCTTTTCTCCCTACAAGGGACAAAGATTACACATTTACATTATTTCATGTCTCTACTTTCAAAAGAAAGACTTGCATTTATAATTGCAACTTATCTTATTTCTTGGAGATGCCCCAGAGTGTTCTCTCACTTTGAAGTGCAGTGATTATTGTCAGATAGGTGAAGCATGTGTCCGATATGCATTTAATAGCATTCCACGATCTTCAACAATGAGCAGTTAGTTAATCTGTAGTTGCTTAAGGGATGAATCTTGGCCAGGATACTAGTGAGGAACGCCTCGAGTTCTTTTATCTCTAGTCAAGAAGTTAGGCAGGGCCCCGGTTTAATGCCCCACCCAAGAAAGGATTCCTCTGACTGCGTCGCACTCCCTTAGTGTGAACCAGCAACAATCGGTATCACAGTCGGGTTTGAGCCACTAATGTAACATTTTAAGGAGCTGGGTGTGCTATATGTTTCAAAGCAAGGTTCCCACAAATTCCCAGTGCTGTTCTCTCCTCTGGCTGTGCCTTGGTCCTCTGGGACCTTGACGGACTGACCATTTAATAGACGAGAGGGCCTGTTAAGTGATAAAAGGGCATTGCGAGCTCACCCAATAGCCACACACTCGAGCCAAACTGCAGGCTCCTCCTGCCAGCTCAGGAGAGGTCAGTTATCCCAGAAGGGTGCATATCTCAGTCATCAATACTGGATGGACTCAGTCACAGAGGCTTGTGGGCAGTTGGCATCAGTAGCATTCGGGAGCTCGTTTTCGTTCTTAAATGCTTAAAGCAGTAAACTCTCTGCTGGGTCAGCTCTGACGGAGACGTCCTAACCGAAGTCACAACTGGTTGTTTCACTTACACAGACTAGAGGGCCTCTCTAGTTATTTCTGAGCCTTAACATTTTTCACTGGCCTCGCTTGTGCTCAAGACAATTGGAGTCACGTTTCCTCGCTCCTCCAGCCTTGTTGCTGCTGATTGCTAACATCCCAACTCTCCCCATCCCTCTCAGAAACTGGAAGGTGATGGAGAAGAAAAGTATGTCCAGCTGTGGCAACATACCGCCTCAGGATTGGTCCTCTGGACCAGGAACCTCTCTTGAAATCTTAGACTAGGTTCAGAGAGTGAGATCCACATTTCTTGAGAATGGTCTCCACCATCTCGCCACATCACCAACGCGCGGGAGCAATCAATTCAGGAGGCATCAGGCTCCACCATCCCTCAACAACCAAGGGAGTCAATGTACAAATGTCCACTGAATCAAAGACCCCCAGCTTAATCCTCTCAGACTGCAGTCTGATGTTCCTCCTTCGTTCTCAAATGAAAGACAATTTTGTTTCACTTACCTTTCTTCCTTTGAATCCCTTTAATCCAGATACACCTGGATATTCCAGACACTTCATCTTATAGCACTGAAAGTCAAGAGTGTAATAGTTAACAAGGGAAATGGATAATCACCTATCCATATCCAAACCAGGTCTAGATTTGTATTGAATAATCCCCACTTGATTATAATAGATGACAGAAAGCTAAGGCAAAGTAACCGAAGAATAACTCGCCTTTCTTTCATTGTAACCACCAGATGCCTCTTTGTTACATTCATAACATAAGAACTAGAAGCAGGAGTAAGCAGAAACTCCCAAAGCAAACACAACTGGTAGTCACTGAAAACAGTATGGGCAAGCAGCATCCAATACGCTGTGGAATAAAATTTAACAGCAACGCAAAAAGCATCTCATTTTACCACCCTAAGATGCAAACATTGAGCAATTCCCCCTGACTTGCCCTCTCTTACTCTCTCCTCTCTCCCTCTCCTCTCCCCATTCCATTGACAGCGCCCGCCCTAAACCAGTTTATTCCCTGGCTCAATTTGGTACACCACAAACTGCACTTGCTGGCTTCACTCCACAGCCATCTTGGGGTAACCCCGTTTCCCTTTCTCTGCGCTATTTTTGTGATTAACCGCCCAAACCCCACTATGATCGCCTTGTGTTTCAAAGGCAATTTGTGACGAGGAATTAAATCGAAACAAAAGAGAAAAACTACAGCAGAGTCTTTTGAACTCTTAAAAGGAAAGCTTACCTGTTTTGAACGGAAGTGGAGAGGTTATCATCTTTGCTGGGGTTGTGGAGGGTTATGGGAGCAGGTGGTAGAAGGGAAGAGTCCATTGAACTGCCAGCAAGTACACCGTGTGGCAGTGCAAATCAAAGAGGATGGAGACAGAATTACTGGAACAGCACAACTTCCCAAAATCCCCAGGGCCTGAAGAAAACCTCCCCTCAGCCAACCTTGCCTCCTTGGTACTATATAGAACCAGGACCTGGAGGTTGTCAAAGGTGAAGTGGACGATTTGATAATTTTCAAAGCCTTGAGGGGCTTAGACAGAGCAGATAGGGAGAAACTGTTTCCACTTGCAAACTGACTGAGGACTTGACAGCGTAATTTTAAAAGAGCTTTGTAAAAGAAGCAAGTGAGAAGTGAGAAAAAGCTTTCTCGTGCAGCAAGTAGATAGGGAATGGAATGCACTGCCTGGAAGTGTGGTGAAGAGAGTTTCAATTGAGGCATTCAAGAGGGCATTGGATGCTTATTTATAAAAAAGGAACAATGTCGAGGGTTGTGGGAAAGAAAGGGCAGGAGATTGACACTGAATTGAAATGTTCAAAAAGCTAGTGCAGACGTGATGGGCTGAATGGCTTCTTTCTGCACTGTAACAGTTCTGTGAAAACCAATCATACTCAAGTTGGAAGTTGCAAACAATAGCTTGCGGGGCAAATGTGGCTTTCTGAGCCACCATCATTCACTGAACGTGCAGGAACCTATTATAGCTTATTGGTTAGACAGAAATGTGGGTTAGTCTAAGGAAAAAGTGTCAAGTAGGAATGTAGTTGTACTCACGTCATTGAAGGCCTCTGTTTTCTGTAAAACATAAATCAGATGAAAACCCATCAACAGACCTCACAGTAAAACAGTATCACAGACAAACAAGTCAGATTTAAACAACGGCTTAACCTGAAGCAAGTGATTAGCACATTTGGCAGCATACCTAACAGTGCTGGAATGGAGGCTGGGTTATGTTCCACAACCTTTATTCCATCATAAAAGGAGACAAGAATGAGTGCTGCACACAATAGCTTAAAACCTGGGTATTACCTTTAGGTCCTGTTGTTTCTGCAGAAACAAGACATCCTATGTTAAATGAGATTTTATTTGGTTTGATTTGGGCCTTCAAAATGCAGGCCCAGATTTTACTGATGAATACCGACACTGGCCAAGCAGGGAAGGATTCAACATTCCTTATTCACATCTAAGAGCCATATGGAGACCTATGCACTTTGTTCATAGCAAGATGCATCTGGCAACGCAGCAGCATCAACTTATCAAGGATTTATCTGCCCTCCTTTCACTGAGCTGTGATCCTTAGGACACATCGTTCGCTCTTGAACTTTAAAGCGGGTTCATTTGGAACCTATCCAATTCCAAGACATGACTGATATGTCCCTCGCTCAACTGCAGTGTTGAGGGATTTCTGAAGTTATGCCAAGTGATATCAGTCAGGTCACTCCTGGACCACCATATCCCATAATGAGGACATGCAATTGGGCAGGAGTGTGGCACAGGGGTTGCCAAACCACCAAGGCTGTCCTGGAGTCTCCAGGATTAGGCAGGCCCAAAGGAAAAGAGATGGTTAGATTTTAAAGCAAAAGACAAATCCTTTCCTCTCTGTGAGAGATAGTAGAAACTGCAGATGCTGGAGAATCCGAGACACAAGGTGCAGGGCTGGATGAACACAGCAGGCCAAGAAACGTCAGCCTCTCTGTCTCCTTTCCTCTCTGTGCTGCTTCATTCCTAGTTAGTAACTGGTGTGATTTGGGACGGAGGAGACTGTTTGGCGAACAGATATTAAAACATCCAACTGGGTAACAAAGTTTCTGTTTGGTTTCCAGTTGTGGTGAGAAGCAGGATTCCAATGAATCAGGATTGGCTGCTCCCATGGAGCTTGTTCTATCTAACACTTTGGAAGGTGCAACTTCCAGCTATCTGAAGAGGAATTTGTTAGATTGTGAAGGATACTAGACAACAAGAGGAGGGAACAAGAGGAGGGAAGAGAGAGTATGAGGATAGATTAGTAGGCAGCGTAAAAGGTAAATCCAAACCTCTTCCATAAGGGTAGCAGAAGAGTAGTTAAAGAAAGGGGTGAGGATAGTTAACCGAAAAGAGTAATTGGGGTGGAGCAACTTTGTATCTTTTTCCTTGCGCTTCTACTATCACAGCAAAAGGCACTGGGGTGTTGGGGGGTGGGGGGCAGGAGGTATTAGAGAAATTGACTATGGTATAAATAGATAAAGAGGTTTCTGGCAGCATTCAAAATCACCAAGGTGAGGGAGGATGCCTTATAGGTTGCTGACAGACATAACAGGATAGAAAGAAATTGGAGCCCCCATCATCACTATCCAATCCAGTATGATGCCAAAGCAACTCTGACTCCTTTGAGGGGACTGGTTGGCTCAGTTGACTGGATGGTTGATATGGGTTAGGTTGGTACCAACAGTACAGGGTTTGAACCCCACCCCCTTTCTGACAGGGGTGGTTCAAGACCCGCCTTCTTGCCCTAAGGACCATCTTCAAACTCCCCATCTGTGAGCTCAATAAGCACCTCATCCTGAACTCCAGTGCGTCCTTAATTGCAAGGGTTCTCGATGTAACAACAATGACTTGTTTTTCATAATGCATCTTTAAATCAGTAACTCTCCTGTAAAGTCCCATATAAAAGTGTACAGAGGACTGTGAAACTTTGCAGAGGAACATAGATACATTGAGTGAGTGGGCAAAGGTCTGGCAGATGGAATACAATGTAAATAAATGTGAAATCATACATTTTGGTAGGAGTAATAGTAAAAAGGATTATTACTTGAATGGTAAAAAGTTGCAGCATGCTGCTATGCAGAGGGACCTGGGTGTCCTTGTGCATGAATCACAGAAGGTAGGTCTGCAGGTACAACAAGTAATCAGGAAGGCAAATGGAATTTTGTCCTTCATTGCTAAAGGGATCGAAATTAAAAGCAGAGAGGTTATGTTGCAGTTGTACAAGGTGCTGGTGAGGCCACACCTGGAATACTGTGTGCAGTTTTGGTCTCCTTACTTGAGAAAGGATGTATTGGCACTGGAGGGGGTGCAAAGGAGGTTCACTAGGTTGGTTCCGGAGTTGAGGGGGTTGGTTTATGAGGAGAGACTGAGTAGATTGGGATTATATTCATTGGAATTCAGAAGATTGAGGGGGGATCTTATAGAAACATATAAAATTATGTAGGGAATAGATAAGATAGAAGTAGAGAGGATGTTTCCACTGGCAGGTGAAGCTAGGACAAGAGGGCATAGCCTCAAGATTAGAGGGAGCAGATTTAGGACTGAATTGAGAAGGAATTTCTTCACCCAGAGGGTTGTTAATCTATGGAATTCCTTGCCCAGTGAAGTAGTTGACACTACTTCAGTAAACGTTTTTAAAAAAAAAGGTAGATTTTTTTTGAACAATAAAGGAATTAAGGGATATGGTGAGAACGCGGGTAAGTGGATCTGAGTCCACGAAAAGATCAGCCATGATCTTATTGAATGGCGGAGCAGGCTCGAAGGGCCAGACGGTCTACTCCTGCTCCTAGTTCTTATGTTCTTATAAGCTGATATAAGCAAAACTTGGTCCAAGATTTTAAGCAGCGTTTGCTAATGGGAGAGTGATGAATCCCAGTGATATGCAGGGGTTTAGAACTGGAAGGGCAGAGAAATCTCTGTGACTTATAGGAACACTGAACAGTGTAGGGATAGCAAGGGGTGAAACTATGGAACGATCTGAGGACAATCAAGACATCACTCAAACAGCAGTCAGTCTGGGTCAGTGGACTGAAAAGGACTGAGTGGGGAGACAGTGGTGAGGTAACAGACCCAGTAATCCAGAGGTCCAGGCTAACAACCATAAAGCTATCACTGAAAGTCATAAAAATACATCAGGTCAACTGAGGGAAGGATATGTGCCACCCTTAAATGATGTGAGTTCAGACCCAGTGCAATGTGCTTGACTTTCAACCATCCATTGCAATGGCTGAACAAGTCAGTCAGTTTGAGGACAATTATGGATGGGCAACAAATGCTGGCCTTGCCTGCAACGACATCCAACTCAGTGACCATGCCCACATCCAATGAAAAGAATTAGACACCAAGGGAGAAGAGGTGGGTTTCATGGACAAGGTGAGCTCAGAGAAGGTATAAGAGTAGACAGGAGAGATCCTAGATAAAAATACCAGCTTAGACCACGGCAGGAGAAAATTTTGGGGGATGCATGACTCAGAGGAATAGGGGAAGGGATGGAAGCAGCTGACTGGAGCAACAATTAACTCCTCCTCACACTGGTTGGGATGACTAAATGGTAAAGGCAGAAGAAAAAGTGTGCAAGTTAAACAACATGTCATTGAGAATGGATGCTGACAGTGAACTGTTCTATTCCAGTATGATCCCAGGCACACTGTGCAGAAACCAACTGTGCTTAATGTATACCAGCCAGATGTGGGAGTGGATACCTAAGGCAGGCTGTCATTCAAACTTGCCTCGCTTGGACGCAAGGGAGCAGAGGTCAGTACAACAGCAGATGGAACAACGAGAGAGTAAAGATGTGAATGGCTATAACAGGATGAGGCACAAAATATGATTGTTATGATATGATATGATAAAATATGATATTATCAGTATCCATAGATATTCATTGAGTGGTAGACTGAAGGTAGATAGTTGAGATTTGGTAAGTGCATTGGGATTAAAGACTTTTTTTCCACCAATGGCTGACAATAGAATGAAGTAGAATTGCAGGAAGGAGGGCGTGGATGGACAGCAAAATACAGAAGTACCCAGAAATGGCCTGAACATATCTGTGAGTGACATGATGGAACTGGTCAATAGTGTATGCACTTCTAAGGTTGTTAGATCTTAAATCTATAGAACTTTGAATGTGCTAAACTTGTTCATTGTTTATATGGTAGAACTGTACATTGTTAACCTGGATGCAGTGAACGTGGAGAACATGTTTCCACTCGTAGGAAAGATTAGGATCAGAGGACACAGCCTCAGACTGAAGGGACGACTTTTTAGAACTGAGATGAGGAGGAATTTCTTCAGTCAAAGGGCAGTAGATCTGTGAAATTTATTGCCACAGAAGGCTGCGGAGGCTAAGATATTGAGTGTAGTTAAGCCAGATAAGTTTTTGATTAGAAAGGAGATCAAAGGTTATGGGGAAAAGCCAGGAGAAGGTAGTTGAGAAACATATCAGCCGTGATCGAACGGTGCAACAGACTCGAAGGGCCAAATTACCTAATTCTGCTCCTACATCTCATGGTTTTATGGTTACTCTGGTAAACCTGGTCATGGTTTACCCTTAGAACTGTACATTAATAAATCTGGTAAACTTATTCATTGTTTGTACCACAGAACTGCACATTATTAATCTGTTAAAACTAGTCATGGTTTACACTGTAGACCTGTACATTAATAAATCTGGTAAAGCTTTTCATTCCTTATATTGTAGAACTGTACATTATTAATCTGGATAGAGTGGGCTCGGAGAATATGTTTCTACTCAGAGGACTGTTTACACTATAGAACTGTGCATTATTGACCTAGAAAACCTAGTTCTTCTTTACTCTGTAACACTTTACATTAATAATTTGGTAAACCTGTATTTTATTAACACTGTAGAGATGTATTATTAATCTGGTATACATGGTCATGGTTTACCCCGTCAAACTGCACATTAATAATCTGCTAAACTTGTTCATTATTTATATTGCATATCTATACATCACTAATATGCTAAACCTAGTCATTGTTTATACTGTAGAACTGTACATAATTAATCTGTTAAACATGGTCATTGTTTGCATTTTAGAGTTGTACATTATTTACAATGTGAAGCTCAAAGTGGAATTGAGTAATCCAAATAAAGTAGTGAGGAGAGTTAGCAAAGAGACCTTCTCTGATAAAGACTCTGGATCTTAGGGAGAAGAATTCAGTGATGTCACACAAACATATTGAAAAGGTATCATCAAAGGGAAGAGGGTAATAGGAAGAGCAAGTGTGTCAGAAGGGAACAGTAGTGAAAAATGGCAGTGATAATGAGAGTGTGGTCGACGGAGAGTCAGAATCTTGTAGAACCATAAATCTTTGATTTGTAGAACAACCGATTCTTAATCGGGATAACGATAATCATTTTGTCCTGGAAATTTGTAAATTATTAATTCTCAATTCTTTAGGTCTGTCAGTACTTAACCTTCCAGAACAGCCCTTCTGAAGGGTCTAGAACCATTGCAAACTGTCAGCCACCACCCTGTAGAACTGTCAGTCTGTGACCATATAAAACTGCGTGTGGCCTCCTTGCAGAACTGACACCTTTGAACTTGTAGGATTGTCAATACTTAACTGAGCTGCATATCCCAATGTTATAAAACTGGTAGTCTGTGACCCTATCAAACTATCAATCCTTCATGTAGAGACTGTTGATTTTTAAGCTTGTATGGTTGTCAATGGAGATGGTCTTGTGATGCACTTGACAACCTTCCTAACTCTGAGCCAGATGCTCTCGGTTCAGGTCTCACCTCAGGAGTTGATGGCCAAGGATACCATATTCACAATGTGTCCAAACAGGTTGTTTATCAACCTACAAATCCCCCCAACATACACACGCCAATGGCAGGCAGTAAGCCACTGAGTCATACAGCATGGAAACAGGCCCTTCAGTCCAACCAGTCCATGACGAACAAAATCAAACCGTCCATGCTTAACCCTTTTGAGTCATGAACCTTTAATCCCGTGAAACATTCAATTCAAACCTTTAAGAACTGTCAAGATTTGAAATTGGGCTAATCCTCAACTCCAGAGAACTATTAATCCTCACCTCGAACAATGACCCCTTTGAGTAGTCCTTTCTCAATTCTGTAGCAATAGCTAAATTTAACCCTGATTTAACCATCTAGTTTAACAGTAGACCTGTAAAACCATCAATTGTTAAGCTGCAGGGCAAAGATTCTTTAACTTGCTGGAATAGTACAACTGATTTATGTCGACCTTCCTGCCTTTAATTGGATTCAAATGGAAATCCAAACTCTGAAGAACTGTCAATTCTTAATGTTGTACAGCTACCCGCTCTTAATCCTGAACCACTTGCTGTTATAAACCTGAGGGATTCTTCACCCTTTACAAGTTGGGCTTTGGAGTGCAGTTACCGTACTGTTTTTAATATCATTGCAAGCTATCTTTGTGTTGATAATGTCTGAACAGATACACTACCTTTGTCTTCTCAGTCTGACAGCACCAGAGTTACACCGTTCACCGTGAATCTGCACTGCCACTATTGAGAGAAAGCTCGTACCTGTGCACACAGCAAGCTAGCTAGTTCACCAGCTAAAACCAGACAGTTCAGCTGGCTGTGCAAATGGCAGCGGACAAGTGACTGTTCTGTGGGAATGGGCCCTGGAAATCCAACCATATTGCAAGAGTTTAGCCTAGTGTTGCTTAAAAGAACGGTCAATGACATCAGCATCGCTGACTTTCAGCAGCCTGGGGCTTACCATTGACCAGAAACTGAACTGAGCTATCCTTACAAATACAGTAGCTACAACAGCAGGTTTGAGGAATCCTGCAGCAGGTAACTCACCTCCTGTCATCTCATCTCATCTACAAGGCATAAGTCAGGAGTGCGATGGAATACTCCCACTTGCCTGGATGTATGCAGCCCCAACAGCACTCAAGAAGTTTGACACCATCCAGGACAAAGCAGCCTGCTTGACTGGCACCACATCCAAAGCATCCACTCCCTCCATCACCAATGCTCAGTAGCAGCAGTGTGTACCACCTACAAGATGCACTGCAGAAATTCACCAACGATCCTCACACACCACTTCCATCTAGAAGGCCAAGAGCAGCAGATACATGGGAACAGCACCACTTGCAAATTCCCCTCCAAGCCACTCACCACCCTGATATATAACTCCGTTCCTTGATTGTCGCTGGATTGAAATCCTGAAATTTCCTCCCTAATGGCATTGTGGGTTTACCCAAAGCACATGAACTACAGCAGTTCAACAAGGCAGCTCACCACCACCTTCTCAAGGGTAACTAAGGACAGGCATAATCATAAAAGAAAGCTCGCATTTTATAGCACCTCTCAGGACAACCCAGAGTTCTTTACAGGCAGTAAAGTGCTTTTTAACATGTAAACTCCCATTGCAATTTTGCTCTCAACAAGCTCCCACGTATTGCAATGTCATCATATCTGGATCATCTGTTTCAGTGCTTTCAGTAGAAGGATAAATATTGACTGGGATGCTGGGTGGACTTGACTGACTTCTTCCAAATGCACAATAATGCTTTTCAATTCTACCTACGGGGCCAGATGGGATCCTTGGTTTAACAATCCATCTGAAAGATTACACCTCCAATAGTACAGCACTCTCTCGGAATTGCACTGGGCTGTCGGCCAGGAGTTTGTGCTCAGATCCCTGGAGGGGGACTCTGAACCATTTCCTTCTGACTGAGGAGTGAGTGCACTACCTATTGACTCACTGCTGACCCCCCACCCACAGCACACTGGTAGATCAATCTGACACCGCTTGGGCTGGCCACCGCACAAGCTTGTCCAATGGGCATTTAATAAAGAGTGACCAATGGATCTCTTTTACATCAAGGTTTAGTCAGCAAAGATTATCTGCAGTTCCTCCAAACCTGTGGGCATCGTTGGCTGGGAACAAAGCTCTGCCCGTAGGCAGATGCACAGCACACAGTATAACTCTGGCGTTACCAGCTCCCAACACCTATTAACTCGAACTGATCGAACAAAATACAACAAGAACTTTACATTTAAATGTAGCAAAGGACGCTTAAAGTATTTTGATTGATTGATTCATTCATTCATTCGTCAGTCAAGCCGCTCCGTCAACCGGTCATCCATTCAGTCAGTTGGCCAATTCATGGTCATTCAGTCTGTCATTCAGTTAGCCAGTCATCTACTCAGTTAATTCATACGGTCAGTAATTAATGTGCCCTCTGCCTGAAGACAGGTCCACACACCATTGTAAGCTGATGCTTCACCCTGAGCTGTTTCCTTCACTGTTTTTGTCCATGGGGGGTTTACTACTGCCTTCCACCCACGAGAGTGGGAGTGGGTTTAAGCCTACGTCAGCCACAACAGGAACTGGATGTGCTTGGGCTAGCTAAGCTAACCAACCGTCACTTCCAGCTTAAAGACCGCCATGTGCCCATATTAGACCATAAGACATCGGAGCAGAAATTAGGCCATTCGATCATGGCTGATGTGGCGGTCATCGAAAGGTGACACGGAAACGTGACAGCCCGAAGGCAAAAGCCGAACCAAGACAGAGCAGAACAAATCAAATCACGGGTGCGGATCCTTACCATGACTCTGATGATCCGATCGATCGTCCTGGCCGGCACCGCGCTGTCGGTCGAAGTCGCCGTGTATTTGTTCCGGTAGAGCTCGTGCGGGAAGTTGGCGATGGTCTTGAGACTCTGCTCGTATTGCTCGGACTGCGCGTGCTGGAGGTCGTCGGTTGACACGGCGAACACCTTGATGCCGGCGTCGCGCGCCATCTCCGCCACGGGCTGGATGCCGCCGCACCGGTTGCCCGTCACGTGGCCGTCCGTGATGACGATGGCGAAACGGTTGCGCGACTCGAGACTGGACTGCTGCTTGATGTTGTCGGTCATCTCGCGCAGGGCGCAGTCGGTGAAGGTGCCGCGGCCGATGTAGTCCACCCGGTCCAGCGCGGCCAGGAAGTCGTCCTTGCTCGAGGTGATCCGGCTGAACTCCTCCACCCGATCGGAGAAGTGCAACCCGCCGAACTCCCAGGCGATTTTCACCCGGTTCTTGAACGCACCGTTCACCATGTTGTTCACGAAGTCCTTGGTGAAGGCTTTGATGTTGTCCACCAGGTTGCCCTGGATACGGGTCTGCAGCGCCACGCTCTCCGAGGTGTCAAGGACAAAGTACACGCTCACCGGACATTCCTGCTTCCCTGAAAGACCACCGGATGAATTTAATAATTGAACAAAAACACACACACGAAAGGAAGAACAAAAGTTCGGACAGAAATATTTCTCTACACAAGACAAAAACGGAGCGAGCAGTGAGAATTTGGGATGCGCCGCCTCACAAGGGAGTGCGGAGGAGTCAGATCGAGTCATACTTTTTTCAGAAGGCAATCGGAAGGAGATTTGCAGAGTCTTGCGGGAATAATACAAGCTGAGCTGCTGCTCAAGGTAGACTTTTATATATATATATATATATATATATATAAAACAAGGCCGTCGCTGGGGTGGAGCTGGTGGAGGGAAGAGGTCGTGTAATAAAGCCTTGAGGAGTCTCACAGCACGGAAACAGACCCTTCGGTCCAACCAGTCCATGCCGCCCATAATCCCAAACTAAACTAGCCCCACCTGTCTGTGCTCTGTCCATACCCCTCCAAACCTTTCTTACTCATTCCATTATCTAAATGTCTTCTAAACATTGTAACTGTACCCGCATCCACCATTTCCTTTTGGAGTTGAGTCATTAAAACTGGAATGGTGAATGACAACCTTCGCCTAACGTGAGGGAGGAAAGGCAGCAAATTTATCATCACCATTCATCCACAACAAGAGGTGATCCAATTTCTAAAAGTCAGTTACCCCCCCCCCCACCCCCGGCTAGAAACGCTTCCAGGAAGAAGATCAGGAGTCAGGGGAAGCTACTTGGGGTTGCACCACTCTGTGGTCTGGAGGAAAGCAGGCTATGCAGAAGTCAGAGTTCACTCGTGGTTTCGGGCCTCCGAGCATCCTAAAATGACAAATGTGTACAAATGCCCATCATGTCTGTGCCTGCTCTCTGAACCTCTTCTTATCCCACTCTTCTGCCTTTTATTAATTAAGCTTCCTTTTGACCAGGAGCTGAATACTCAATGGCACCAGAACGGCTAGCCATGCTCGACTTAATGAAGGAAACTGAAGTACCTCTCTGACCTCAGAAATTTCAAATCCACTTTTTTGTCTAGTAAAAAGGCACTGGAGTAGATTTTCAACGTGTTATCCTGATGCAAAACCCTGATTTGCCCCACTATTATAATAACTGCCCAATTTTCAATACTCATTTGATTCACAGAAGTGAAACCTGGCTGTTTCTCATATGGGAGCAGACATTTCATTCCATTACTGTAGGTATGGAGTCACATGTAGGCCAGACCAGGTAAAGATGCACGATTTCCTTCCCTGGAAGACGCTATCCAATGAGCTGGGTTTGTTATGACAAACAATGATTATTGTCATGATCACCATCATTAAGACTAGCTTCATATTCCTGCCTTTGTTAAGTTTTCAATGACTGATGGTGTAGTGGTAATGTCAATAAACTAGTAACCCAGAACCTCATGAAAACATGAGTTCAATTTCCATCAATGGCAGATGATGACATTTGAATTCAATAAAGAAAATCTGGAATGAAAATAGTTTAGTCTAATTGCAACCATTGACAGTTGTTGTTAAAAGCCATCTGGCTTACCATTGCCTGTTAGGAAAGGAAATCTGCTGCCCTTACTTAGTCTGGCCTACATGTGACTCCAGACCCGCAGCAGTGTGACTGATTCTTAACTGGCCTCTAGACAGCACTAAGAATGGGCAATAAATGCTGGCCCAGCAAGCAATGCCCATATTGTGTGAATGATTTTCTTTAAATGACATAGTTGGATTTGAACCCATGCCTCTAGGACATTAGCCTGGATCTCTGGATTACTAATCCACTGTTTTAACCACAACATCACAATCCTCCTTAATTACACCTCCCAGCCGCCCGTGATCAAATTCAAAACAATCAATGGTAAGCGTCAAACATCAGGGGCTTCTCTTATCCTACCTGTACACCCCTCTGGACTAGGAGTAGGATCGATTGGCCTGAAATTGTTGATCTGACCTCTCACTGGGTCAACGAGTCCCCAGACGGTCAGCAGCAATGTGAGAAATGCTGGGTGCATTTTTCCTTTTGCAGCTCAGCAGCAACACCCTGTGAAGACAGCAGAAGAAATCACAGAGAATCAGAATGTAGAACTGTAGTACAGGCTGACTGGTTAAAAAGGAAACACCAAAAGAGATAGAAGATTTCTCATACAGTGAGTGTTTAGGGTCTGCAGTGGGCTGCCTGAGAGTTCGATGGAGGCAATTTCAATCAAAACCTTCAAAAGGAATTAGATTTTATCTGAACAGGAATAAAATGCAGGGGTACAGGGAGAATGGCACATAGCGAATTGGTCATTCAGAGAGACAGTGCAGTGGCGATGGGCTGAATGGGGCTCCTTCTGTGCTGCACTGATTTTCAGATTCTAGGTTAAGTCTAACATGATATGCTAGTGAGACAGTATACATCATCACAGGAAGTGATGTAATATCACTTGGTTTTGCTCTGTCTTGCAGCCTCTTGGTAAGATGAAGCCACAGGAAGACGTTTATGAAGTAAATGTCATATTTTCCTTACCTTGGTAGACTCTGGAAATATTATTTAGCAGCACAGCAAGACCAAGAACATTACTGGATCTAATCATGTGCTTTAAAATGCAACAATTCTTTCAATATATAAAAAGGAAGAGAGAGGTCAAAGTGAATAGTCCTCTTAGAAAACAAATCTGGGGAGTCTGTTTTGGGGAACAAGGAAATGACAGAGGAGTTAAACAGAGATTTTGCATCAGTCTTTACGGTGGAAGATATGCCAAACATTTCATTAATAGTAAAGGAGATAGAGGATGAATTAAGTATCGTCAGCCATCACTAATGAAGTAGTAGACAAACTAATGGGGCTAAAGGCAGCTATGTCCCTGGCCCCGACGGCTTACATCCTAGGATCCTAAAAGACATAGCTACAGTGACGGTGAATGCATTAGTGGTGATTTTCCAAAAATCCTTCGATTCTGGTGATGTACCAGAGGATTGGAAAACTGTTGATGTGACATCCCTATTCAAAAAGAGGAAGGAGGCAAAAAGCGGGTAACTAGAGGTCGATTAGCCTGACATCTATTGAAGGAAAAGTACTGGAATGGATTATTAAGGAAGTAATAGCAGAACATTCGGAAAATCATAATCTTATCGAGCAAAGTCAGCATGGCCTCATTGAAAGGCAAATCACGTCTGACTGATTCATTAGAATTTTTTTTTGAGGATGTCTCAATTAGAGGGCAACCAGTAAATGTGTTGTATTTAGACTTCAAGAAAGCGTGTGACAAGGTAAATTACGAAAGGTTAAGTCATAAGACAGGAGCCCTTGGTGTTAGAGAAAGCATATTGGCATGGGTAGAGAATCGGCCAAAAGAGTGGAACCAGAGAGTGGGCAAAGAGGTTCTTTTCCAGGTTAGTGACTTGTAACCAGTGAGGTTCCGCAGTAACCAGTGCTGGGGCTGCAACTGTTTACAATAAATATTAATGATCTGGAGGAAGGAAGTGAATGTACTGTAGCCAGATTTGCAGATGACACAAAAGGAAGGTTGAGAGGCATACAAACAACAGAGAGATATTGACAAGTTAAGTAAGTGGACAAAAAGTTGTCAAATACAATATCTTAAAGTTATTCATTCTGGAAGGGAGAACAAAGGAACAGAATGTTATTTAAATGGAGAGAAAATGCAGAAAGCTGCAACATGAAGGGACTTGGCTGTACTTGTGAATGAAACACAGAAAGCTAGCACATAGGTACAACAGGTAATCTGGAAGGCTAAGGGAATGTCAAATCTTATCTCAAGGGGGTTGGAGTCTAAGAGTATGGGAGTCGTACTGCAAATGTACAAGGTGCTGGCGAGACCGTGTTCTGGAGTACTGTGAGCAGTTTTGGTCCACCTATTTCCGAAAAAAAAGTACTATTTCCCTGGAGGCAGTTCAGAGAAGGTTCACTAGATGCTCCCCAGTTGGGAAGGAATGTATTATCAGCAAAGGTTGAAAAGATTGGGCCTATCCTCACTGGAATTTAGAAAAATTGAAACATAGAAACATAGAGGATTCTTAAGGGGTTTGACAGAGTAAAATGAGGGGTGAGTGGGCACAGACAGGGCTTGGTAAGTGTTAGCACTGAAGTGTTTTGGAGAGGTAGAGATAGAATTGGAATCTGGGAGTAAGTGACTGTACTGATGGAGAGGAGACTTGAAAGATTAGAATCAATCACAAGGGAGAATTTCTTAACAAATTTTAAGTCAAAATATATACACCTTTTTCAATGACACTGGATATCTTTAATGGGAACCCATATGATTTGATGCCTTGCACATTCGTAACATTGTTGAGTCATGTGAGGCCATTACTTTTCACAGATTAGTGAATGAAGAATTGTTTCGAAACAGCACAATGCCTGTCAACTATTAACATGTTGCCTACTTAGCAAAGAATGTAGTCAGGGCAAAATTGTGGCTTCTTTCTGTTCTCACTTTGGCATAAGTCTAAGCAATGACAGTAACTGCTCTCCAGAATTTAAAGGGAGGTCCCATTGCCGTGTTTTGTGACAGGAACCACCATTTAGTCCAGGATTGCAGGAACTGCTGTATGTAAAAAACTTTATTTGCAAATCTGCAGCAACACTTCATCACAGACCTCAGCCACTTCCAAAGCAGGCACAGCAAGAGATGCATCAGGAGTGGGAATCTGGAGTATTTTCCCTTGAAGCACCATCAGTCAAAGTCAATGGAGGCTAGGCTTACCCAGCATGCAGCACTGTATCGAAAGCCCTCTATTTTAATCACTGTCAGGTCCATCTCCTTAGCCTCCCTTGCTTTCTGTCATTCTGGAAATGACAGCAACTACCATGAGAATCAGTGGAGGCTATTACTCATCCCCCCGCCCCCTGCAGAAGATGGGATCTGGCAAACTGCAGCACAGAGGAAGAAAAGATCCCGCAGCTTTTTTCAACTTTATCAGATATGAAACCACTAAAAACACCATTTCAACACCAGTCTTAATGGTAATTTAATAATAAACGCAGATATCTGTGCACTGAGACCAGAATAATGTCGATATGTAAAAGTCATTACTGAGATATACCCATTTGTTTCAGCTGGAGTTCCATAGTAGAAGTTTCACCTGCTCTTCAGTCTTGTACACAAGTCCTTGCGCTGAATAAGCACTTATATAGCGCCTCTAACGTGGCACTTCACAGGATTGTTATCAAGCAGCAACTGACAGCAAAACACAAAGTAGACATTAATCAGATGACCAAATGTTTGGACAAAGACGTCGCTTTCAAGGAGTGTCTTCAAGGAGGACAGAGGGATTATTGAGACAGAATTTCAGAGCTTCGAGCCGAGCCTGCTGAAGGCATAGCTGTCAGTGATACAGTGAAGAAAACTGGAGTAATACACGAAGCCAGTTATTGAAGGAGCATGGAGGTCATGAAGGGGGTGGAACGTTGAGGGGGTTCACAGAAATAGGGAGACCACGGCTAGACCACGGAGACAACTGAAAACGAGGATGAGAATTCTAAAGCTAAATCAATAAGGGACCGCAAGCACAGCACCAAGGGTGACTGAGAATTGGTGCAAGCTAGGATAAAGGCAGTGGTGTTTTGATAGAGTGAGATCAGTCAGAAGAGTGCTGGAATAGTCAAGCTTAGGGGAATCAGAGCCAGTGATGAGCTGAAGCAGAGAGACTGTACTGAATTAGAAGCAAAACTTTGTCGCATTTTCTAGTCTGTGCCAGGCTCACGTTTAACTGGCTAGGTCTGGATCCCAAGTTTATCCTCTCTGTCCTAGACACTTCACTATCTGATTTCCACGTTTTTGAGAAAGAGGGGGAAGAGAAAGAGACCAATTATGGGTCAGGTCACTATCTCCCACCTCCCATTGCCTAGGCTGTGATGAATAACTTTTCTTTTACCCTGTCCCTCTCCTCCATCCCCAGGGGAAGCCAGTTTTGCACACAGGCCAACAACACCCATGGGTTGTACATTAGTTATGAGAATTCACATCCAGCTGTCCTGTGCTCACTGACCAACATCAGCTCCTAATCCAGCATCACCTAAACGCTTAAATTGTCTATCCTCATCTTCAATTTCCTCCACAGCTCCAGCCTTCCCCATTTCCATAACCTGCTCCCACCTCACATTTGAGATCTCTGTATTGCTGTTACTGGCCTCTTGCAAATCCCGGATTACCTTTGTCCCATTACCACCAGCCATTCCTCAGCTGTCTGGATCCTAAAATCTGGAATTCCTTCTCCTAAACCTCTCTGGCTCACGTGCACTTTCTCTCTGTCTCTCTCTGTGTGTCTCCAACTTTTATTGGTCTTGCCGCACTGTGTCTATACAGAACAAGGTAGCCTTCTCCCCCTGTCAGTTGGGGTGTCAGCAGACAGAAGGACCTTGTGCAGAGGCCCAAAGGGGGCCTTCCTGAGCAGCAGACCCTGCCCATCCTCTCTAGCCATTCCTCAAGGATCATCAAAAATAGACATATATAAACTTAGGAGCAGGATTAGGCCATTCAAGCCCTCAAGATTGCTCTAGATCACGGCTGATCATCGACCACGTGCCGCATTCCCATGAATCTCCTATCTGGGTTGCAAGATGATGAGGCCACGACTCCCCAGAATTAGCCTGGGAGCTGGACCAAGAACACCATCACTTGGAGAAGGTATTAGATGATCCCAGACAAAACGGCATTCCATGTCAACAGACCCTACCTGCCTACACACCTCTGGGCAACCAACTGTCAGGAAATGGGCTAGAGTGCAGGACAGCAATAGATTTGTGAGAGTTTGTTCAAGTTAGGATGTGTGAGCTATACCTTGTGTGTGTCCTTTATGCTAATTCTCTGTCAGGAATTCCCATCCATCAATCTGACAGGGAAGACCTGAGAAATTGGTGCTTGCCATTACAAGGTTAATACTGGATGCAGTCGAGGAATGAAGGGGCCTGTTTCTTGAGGCATGATGAACTCCTCCAAGGGCTGGAGCAGGCTCTCAGAACTGTTATTCGACCAACTCTTTGCAGACATTTAGGAGGGCTCACACACAATGGATTCATTTTCTGCCAGAACTGAGACCCCATAGGAAACAGAGGTCAGAGGAGAGCACTCAACTGTTTGAGGTCCAGTCAACTAAATCGTTGGAGGTCCAAATCTTAAATCCTATTTCTTCCATGGTTTCAAAACCCTGGATCCTAGCAAAAACCTATCCATCTCACTTTTAACAGTTTCAACTGACCCCAGCAGCTTTTTGAGGTGGTTCGGGACAATTTTCAGATAACCACAACCCCCTACAGTGAAGACATTACTTCTAATATCGCTCCTCACTGACCAAGCTCTGACTTCTGTGTAAAGCCTCCTTGTTCTGGACTGTACCATCACAGGAAATACTTTCTCTGTCTAGTCTACTAAATCCTTTAATCATTTTAATTCCTTAATTGGCAATACTCAAGGGGGCACAAGTGTAATCTATGCAAGCGAAACTCATAACTTAACTCTTTCACCTCCAGAATCAGACAAGATTCTGACTGTCTGGGCTTGATTAAGTCAATGACAATACAGGGACCCTACGACAAGATCCCTCCAGTCAGCCTTGTGAATGTACACAATAATCTTGCATCTGACCAACACAGGTTGCGGCAACATCCAGAAAGAATCTCAGCAACTTGAACTGTGCCCGGTTGGAAAGTGAATCTGAAGGCAAAGCAAGTAGGTGTTGCTTTCACACCCAGTAATGGAGCCAGGCAGCAAATGAAGTCCCATAGTGGGAGCCTACCACACAAGCCAGAAAGTGGAAAGGTGCCCGATGCCCAGATGCTCACCACTGGTGAGTCAGGTATCACTCAGTGGGTAGTGCATTCACCTCTGAATCAGATCGTTATTGTCCCAAATCTAGGCCGACTGTCCCAGTACTGCACTGGTCTGAGGTACTGTCCTTCAAATGAGATGATAAGCTGATGTCCTATCTCACATCTTTCATTCAAAGTAAACGTTTCCTTGTCACTATTTGGGGGTGGGGGGGTGGTGGGGGTGAGCCTTCTCTCAGAATGAAATTTATCACCAAAAATTGCTGTAAAATAATGACCTGTTTGTGGGATCTTGCATTATGCAAAATGGCAGCAGTATTTCAAATTCTAACAATGACTGCACTTAAAAATGCTTCATTGTTTGAAAAGCACTTTGGGACATCACAAAGTGATGATAGCGCACAATGTAAACGCAGTTTCTTGTTTTCTCGTAAGTGGGGCTAACCAGGTGATCTAAGGCAGCATACTCTGATCCCTGTGCAATGCTCAGGTAGTTCCAACAGAATAGGGTCCCACTGATGATTGTGGAGTCGCCTACTCCCATCCCTCTTCCCTACTGGCTGCATGTTTGAAATAGCTGCTACTTGGTGGCACATCGTCCACTGAAACCCACTATCAAGACTGGTCCAAGTCTGCTGGATGCCAGGATACTCAGAGAATGTAACTGGGGGTTGGGGGATGGTATACTGTCCTGCCCCATGTGTCCCTAGCACTGAAGACCTAAACTGCAGCAGCTGATTACAGATGACAAAAGCCACTCAAAGCTAGGGCAGGGAGGCGAGGGGTTCAGTCACATTGATACAGCATACCATCCCCTCCAAACACACACACACACACACAGAGAAAGTAACACAATGCCTGAGGAAGGGATCTTGCTATCCCCAACACACCCATCTGCCTCAGAGCTTAACTGTAATGATATAAAACAAAACTGTGGATGCTGAAAATCTGAAACGAAAACAGAAAGTGACCCCTTTTCAGAAGTGGACCTGAGATGTGAACTCTGCTTTCTCTCCACAGAAGCTGCCAGACCTGCTGAGTTTCTCCAGCAATGTCTTTTTTTCAGATTTACAGCATCCTGCAGTTCTTTGGGTTCTTTTTTGTTTTGTGTTCATGTTCTGATAATTGACACTGTTTACAATGGCATTCTCAAGAACACAATGCCTCAACAGAAGAGGCAGCTCTCGTATCCATAGTAATCCATTGATATATTTCAACAACCAATAGAATATTAAAGTGATTGCCCTTATACTCTGTTCCCACATGTCAGCTAATAAAGTGCAATTCTATGGTTAAGGTATTCCTTAGAGCTGCGGTGCACAGTGAGGACACTAGAGGACGCTGATCTCTAGGAAATGTCCTTTCCAGAGCTTGGAGTATTGATTTTAAAATAAACCACAAACACATTTTCAAACAAAAAAAAGTTTCGAAACGGCTCAGAAACGGAGCGGTTTGTTCGACCCACGAACCTATCCCTGTCAGTATGGTATAAATGAAACACAATCAGATGTTTTGGGGAGAAAATAGTTTAAGAAGAAAGATATACAAGTCTTGAGCCCCCAAACAACGCTCGCCAGAGATCCGGGAGGCTTCACACTCTGACAAATTGCTTGACTGTTTTGTTTCTGTATGCTGCATTCTAAGGAACAATTTAAATAAGGGTTGCAATTAATACCTTAAGTCTGTTGAGTGGAAGGGGAACAAAGTGGGCACTTTTCTGTGATTAACTTCAGCGGGACCCATGCAACTTGCATTCAACTCAACATTTTGCAGAGTGATAACCGCTCCAGTTACAGTACCGTTTTAAAAAGGGGTTCTATTCCTTAACCTCTCCTGACCCCAATCCCTCTTAAAGGGTTAACAGTGCTGATAACGTGTCATCGGTTAAAAAGAAAACGTTAAGCCTTAAAACAAAATTACAGGGTTCAACATCTCAAAAATGTGTTAAAAAAATTTTGTCCCGAGCTATTTGTGTTCACAGTCTTAATTTATAAAGGTCAGTTTTAGAGAAAGATTCTTTCCCCCCGATTTTAGCTTCGGTCGTAATCCAACAATGTATAAAACTTCCCTTTCCACTTTTGAAAAAACTACACTGCCTACGAACTGTGGTTAAAATCTTCTTAAAATAAAGTTACTTAAAAAAAAATTCAGCCAAGTTTCGGAAACCGCTCAGAAAGAACAAGTTTTACTACCTGCCAATCTGGTCTGTATCTTCCTCGCTGGAAAGGCGATGAGATCTTCAAATAAAAAAAAACTAATGTTTCTTCAGAGATTGTCCTTGCTTCTTTTTACATGGTTCACCGACAATTAGAATGAGAAATGGGGAATAGTAGGATTTTAGGAAGCAATTTTTTTGCGAGGGAGCAAGAGTGCATGCAGGCTTACAGCTGCGCGACTCTAGACTGGGAGGACCTGAGAAAAATCAATCTGTGCTCAACTGGCTTACATAGAGGAACTCAACGGTCCTGAACTGCCTTTCAAGATCCATCCCTGACCCTCCTCTCGAACCCCCTTCCAGGGTCCCTCTGCAATCCCCCGCCGGCAGATCCCTGCTCCACACATCAGGCGGCGCTGTCTCTCCAGCCGTTCACATCCAAGTCAGCCCTCCCCAGAATTGGTTTCAACAAGCATCAGTTCTGACTGCTTCAGAGATGTCCTAGGGCTGAGATGATTAATATGTCCAACAACATTATCTTTCTTTGTGCCAGGTATGCCAGTTCTGAGGAAGGGTCGTTGGACCTGAAACATTAACTCTGATTTTTCTTCACAGATGCTGCCATACCTTTTCCAGCAACTTCTGTTTTTGTTGCTGATTTACAGCACCCGCAGTTCTTTCAGTTTTAACAACTTTCTGGATTTGTGTTTTATTTTCTGACTCAAAAGGTTACTGGAAAACGTTTTTCTACAAGATTCTCAAAAGACTTAAATTTCTTTGCTTTGAGGACACGATGACCGACTTGAAATGTTAGGAGTTTGGAGTATTCTGTCTCAGTTTATTGAAAGAGGCCATTTAACCCATTATGTGCTGGCTCTATCAAAACCCAATTAGGTCCCACACACCCCCTTATTTTGTAGAATAGTTATGGGTAAGATAAGACTGATCCCCAGGTGAAACTGCTAAATTGGGGAAAGTCTAACTACAACAGTATTAAGCGGGAACTGGAGAAATCAGATTGGGAGTGGCTGTTTGCGGATAAACCCACATCTGACATATGGGAGTCTTTTAAACATGGAACAAAATCAAGTTGCTGGAAAAGCCTAGCAGGTCTGGCAGCTTCTGTGAAGGAAAAAACAGAGTTAACGTTTTGGGTCCGGTGACCCTTCCCCAGAACTGGAGTCTTTTAAAGACCAGTTGATCACAGAGCTGAGGACCAGCATGTTCCTGTGAGGCTGAAAGATATGGATAGTAAGATTCAGGATGTCTGGATGACAAGAGATATTGAAAGTTAAAACGAGAAAGGAAGCGCATGTAAGGTTTAGGAAACTGAAATCAGCCAAGTCCTTGAGGAATGTAAAGGCATTAGGAGAGCTGAAAGGGACCATGAAATGTTCTTCGCAAGTAGAATTAGGGAGACATTTAGTACATATTTTATAGGACAAAGGTGGGAATTTACGCATGGAGCCAGAGGAAGTGGGTGAAGTCCTGAATGAGTACTTCACATTGATATTCACCAAGGAGTGGAACATGGATGATGGTAAGATTAGGGATGGGTATGTTGGTATTCCAGGTAATGTTGATATTAAGAAGGAGGAGACTTGAAAACATTAAGGTCAATAAATCCTCAGTGCCTGAGGGGTATATCCCAGGAAACTGAGGGAGCAAAGAGAGGAGATTACTGGGGCCTTGACAATGATCTTTGTATTCTCTTTTGCCACAGGTGAGGTCCTAGAAGACTGAAGAATAGCCAATAGCAGGGATAATCTAGGAAATTATAAATGGGCAAGCTTGACATCAATGGTGGGCAAAATATTGGAGAAGATACTTTGGGACAGGATATACTCGCATTTGGAAAAGAATGGACTTAATAGCGATAATCAGCATGGCTTTGCATGATCTTGACTCACAAATTTGATTGAGTTTTTTGAGGAAGTGACAAAGATGATTGATGAGAGTAAAGCAGTGGATGTTGTCTGCACGGACTTTACTTAAGTATTTGACAAGGTGCTTCATGGTAGGCTGGTCCAGAAGATTAAGTCACATGGGACCGACATGAGTTGGTAAGTTTGATACAAAATTAGCTTGGCCATGGAAGACAGAGAGTAGTTGGGAGGGCTGTTTTTCTGACTGGAGGTCTGTGACCAGCGGTATTCCACAAGGATTATTGCTGGAACCTCGGTTGTTTGTAATATATATGAATGATTTGGATGAAAATGTAGGTGGTCTGATTAATAAGTTTGCAGATGACATAGAAGTTGGTGGAGATGTGAATAGTGAGAAAAGTTATCAAAGGATACTACAGGTGGGCGGCACGGTGGCTCAGTAGTTAGCACTGCTGCTTCACAGCGCCAGGAACCCGGGTTTGATTCCACCCTCAGGCGACTGTCTGTATGGTTTGCACATTCTCCTTGTGTCTGCATGGGTTTCCTCTGGGTGCTCCAGTTTCCTCCCAGAGTCCAAAGATGTGCTGATTAGGTGGATTGGCCATGCTATGGTGTTCAGGGATGTGTAGATTAGGTGGTTTATAGGGGGATGGGTCTGGGTAGGATGCTCTGAGGGTCGGTGGGACTTGTTGGGCCAAAGGGCCTGTTTCCACACTGCAGGGATTCTATGATCTATGATATAGACCAGTTGGAAAGTTGGGCAGAGAAATGGTGGATGGAGTTTAATCTGAGCAAATGTGAAATGATGCATTTTGGGAGGTCAAATGCAAGAGGAAAATATACAGTAAATGGCAGGACCCTTAGGAGCATTGATATGTGAGGGATCTTGGGATGCAAGTCCGTAGCTCCCTGAAAGTAGCATTAAAAGGTGATAAGGCAAACGGCATGCTTGCTTTCAACAGTCAGGACATCGAGTATAAAAATTGGCAAGTCATGTTGCATGTATAAAACTTCAATTGGGCCACATTTCGATTATTGTGTATAGTGCTGGTTGCCATGCTATAGGAAGGATGTGGAGGTTTGGGAAAGGGTGCAAAAGAGTTTTACCAAGATGTTGCTTGGATTAGCTATAAGGAGCTAATAAACTTGGATTGTTTTCACTTGAGCATCAGAAGCTGAGGGGGCGACCTGACAGAAGTAAATAAAATTATGAGAGGCATAGACAGGGTGAATGGCTGGAGTCTTTTTCCCAGGTGGAAATGTCAAATAGTAGGGTGTGTAGGTTTACGGTGAAGGGGGAAAGTTTAAAGAAAATGTGTGAGGAAAGTTTTTTACACAGAGGGTGGTAGTTGCCTGGACCACACTGCCAGGGGAGGTGGTACAAGCAGAGATGATAACTATGTTTAAGAGGCATTTAGATAGACACAAGAACAGGCTGGGAATAGAGGATATGGACCATACAATGCAGATGGGATTAGTTTAGAATGGCATCACGGTTGGCACAGATGTGGTGGTCGAAGGGCCTGTTCCTGTTCTGTGTTCTAGTTATCAAATTCCGTTTTAAAAGTTGTGATTTAATCTGCTTCCACAAGCCTTTCAAGCAGGACATTCCATATTATAACTCACTGAGTTTGAAAAAAATACTCCCCAATCCCTCACTGATAATTCTTTTCCCAGTTGCACCTAAACCTGTCTCCCCTGGTTACTGACCCTTGAGCTTGTGGAAACAATTTCTCCTTGGCCACATTATGAAAACCCACTTCATCATTTTAAACCCTTCAGTTAGTAGGTTAGCGTGCGTATTTTTTGAAGTACAGCCTGACAGCCCCAAGGTGGATTCCATTTTACCAGATTGGATTTTGGAATATTTCCTGACATCTTGACAATTTTATACTTCCTCCCTATTGTGCGATTATACTAATCCCAGGAAAGCAAAGTACTTTCAGCCAGTTTGTCAGCCTGACTGTCTGTCTGTCAGTCTATCGGTAGTCCATCAGCCATGTGTGTAGTTACAATTGTACAGTGTGTCTAAAATGTCGGTCAGCATAGCACCCAATCAATGTATAAGTCTGTGTACTTATAAAAGAGTAGATGGTCTGTGTTGTTAATAAATTTCAAGATATTTGTCTCAATAAAAACCTAGTGTTCATGATATATATTAACATATAGGGAACATTCAGACCATATAATACCGGCCATGGCTTTTGACCCAAGAATCGGAAACAATGGATCACAATGGTTTGGAATGTTTGCTGAAAGCAATTAAATGTGATTTTGAGTTGTCACGATGAGGATGGAAGTGTTGTGTGATGGGGAGAGAGAGGTGAAGATGTGTTGAACGCACTCCCCCCCCCTGCCTGCAGAGAATACCTCCAATGGACTGCCTCACCTTGTCCCTTATTCCAACATTTGAGGCAGGCCATTCAGCCCATCTATCCCCACAGGTGAAGGACCTGCTGACCCCCATTTCTAGATTCCCATCAGGTTTCCCGACAACCTGCACATTTGAACTGTAGAGCAACCCTGATCATTCGACACCACAGATAATCTTATCCGCAGTTGGGCAGCCATTTCTGCGGAGCGTTTTTCTTTCGGTCAGATTGGCAGAATAAAGCTGACATGACAACCAGAATTGAGAAGGACACCTGCTGTACCTGTTCAGCCAGAATCCGTGCTCCCAGCTGGAATTCCAGTTGAATCCCCAAGAATCCCATAAGGCAATACTGTGGCTAGCCTTTACTGAATTGATAGGGCCCTCATCTGAGTCATACTGATGATAGATATATGAGCACCACTCCAGGACTGAATGGATCATCTACACTGATACTTCAGCATACGAAGGGAGTGCTGCACTGACACAGATGCTGTCCTTCCAGCGGCACATTAAACTGAGACACACCTGCGCCCCTGTCTCATCGTGTAAATGTAAAAGATCCATGGCACTATCTCCACGAAGAGAAGGGGAATTCTCCCCGGTTTCCTGACCCAACTTTTATGCCTTAATCCACCACACTTAAAGCAAGGGACCTGGTCACGTATCTTTCTTATGGGATATGGTTATCACTGGCTGAGTTAACATTTATTATATGTTTAAGAATGAAATAGATTGATTTCCAGAGACTAAAAGCATCAAAGGGGAATGGGGAGACATCAGAAGTGTGGCATTAAGATGGAGATCAGTCACAATCATGTTTAATAGCAGAGCAGGTCTCAATAGGCCAAATGGCCTACTCCTGATCCTATGCTCTTTATTGTTTGCCCTTAATTAGTTTTGAACAAAAGTAGCTTGCTCAGCCTTTACAGAGGGCAGATAGGGATCAACCTCATTACTGTGGGTCTGGAGTCTCGTGCAGATTGCCTTCCCTAATGGGTATTAGTGAAAAAG